TGAAGGCAGGGAGGAAGGGAGGAAGAGAAGATGCAATAAACTCACAACCTCTAGTCCTTTTTCAGGTGACTCTGATCCACTCAGGAGGTGCCCTTATGATCTAGATACCTCTCATTAGGCCACAATTCCCCACAAGTGGCTACAATAGAGCTTCCAAAATATGATTTGAAAGAAACACAATCAAACAATAGCACTCTTGCAAAATTCTTCCCATATTATATCAATGTAACCAAAAGAAACGCAGAATACTTGATATTCAATTATAAGAGATGCTGCACCTTCCCTCTGGAGCTCTACATTCCTTTCTCTGTTGAATTATTTGCTTTAAAGAAAGTTAACTTCCATACCCAACAACCTATAGAGATCCAGGTGAAGAGGTGAGGTTTGTGCCGCCAAGATGGCTCAGCAGGCAAAGATGCCTGTCACCAAGCACAAGAACCTAAGTCTGATCCCTTAGGATCCACATGGTAGAAGGAAAGAACTGAATGCTGCAAATTGTCCTCTGACTACACACTTATACACACATACAACACACACAACACACAAACACACACACACACACACAATAATTTAGAAACAAATAAGCAAGGCCCACCAGTAACTATTAAGTCAACATGGAAGCAAGTTCTCCAACCCCAGAAGAACCTCACTGGCCTTCAGTCCCAACTAACACTTTTTTCCACAGCCTTCTGAGCCTAATACACCTGAGGCAAACTGAGACATACAGGCTATCTAGCAAGTTCCAGGTCAGGGCAGAAGATGTGTTCAATTGGTAGAGGGCTTGCCTGTACGCACAAAGCCCTGGGCTCATGCCCAGCACCACATAAAACCAAACCTGGTAGCACACACTTATAATCCTAGCAGTCAGCAAATGGAAGCTAAAGGAATCAGAAGCTCAAGGTCATCCTCAGCTCCACAGAAAATGCCAGCCTGGGATATATGAGAATCAGTCAAAAATAAATAACTGTAGACCCATGAGAGGTCTTATGCTAAAAATATCCAGTTGAACTTTTCATAGACTGCTAAACTACAGAAACTGTGAAATTATGAATATTAATCTTAAACTACTAGGTTCTGGAGTACTTTTGGTACACTAATAGATAATACATATATGAAGGACAGTGACAGCCCAAGATTTACAGTAAAAACTTTGGAGCCTGGTCTGGTGGCACACACCTTTAGTCTCAGCTCTGGAAAGGCAGAGGCAGGTGGATCTCTGCTTTTGAGGTTAGCCTGGTCTACAGAGTGACTTGCTGAGCTACCCAAAGAAAAAGAAAAAGAAAAAGGTTTTGGTCTAGTATGATGGAGCGCACTTGCAATCACAGTACTTAGGAGACAGAAGCAGGAGGATAAGAAGTTAAAGTCATTCTTATTGACATGGGGCTCAAGGCCATCCTGGGCTACATGAGATTCATCTTAAAAACAAACAAGATGGAGAAAAAACTGGATCCACAAGTATAAAGGATAGTCTAATAATAACCCTGAAAAAAGCACTAAGCCTCCGTTTCCTTAGTTATGAGAAATTAAAATTACATTGATTTATAACACAAAGTAAATAGTATATTTCTCTCTCTCTCTCTCTCTCTCTCTCTCTCTCTCTCTCTCTCTCTCTCTCTAACACACACACACACACATACACAGAATTTTTTGGTTTTCGAGACAGGGTTTCTTTGTGTAGCTCTGGCTTGCCCTGGAACTCACTCTGTAGACCAGGCTGGACTCAAACTCACAGAAATCCACCTGTGTCTGCCTCCTGAGTGCTGGGATTTAAAGTGTGCACTACCACAGCCCAGCTAAAGAGTATATTTTAACTTAGGACATATCTAGAAGTGGTGATACAAACCTGTTATCCCAGTACTTAAAGGCTGAAGCAGAAGGATTCTAAGTTTGAGACTAGCCTTGTTTGCATAGCAAGTTCCAGGTTATCTTGAACTAAACAAGACCCTGTCTCAAAACAACAACCCAAGTTAATTATACAGCAGGGGGCTAGAGAGATGGCTCAGAGGTTAAGGCACTTGCCACCAAGCCTGACAACCTGGGTTCAATTCCAGGGACCTATACGGTGGAAGGAGCCAACCAACTCTGCCAATTTGTCCTCTATCCTGATGTAGCACATGTATACACAAATACACACAAGATGATGAGCATAAAGAAAAATAATAAATAGAACTGGGTATTGTGGCCCATGCCTTAAATCCCAGCACTTGGAGGAAGAGGCAGGCGGATCTCTGCGAGTACAAAGACAGTCAGATTTACACAGTGAGTAGTTTCAGGACAGCCGGAGTTATATAGTAAAACTCCATCTCATGAAAACAAAACAATAATTATAATAAACAAAATAAAAAACAAATAAAGGAGGAAAGAAAAAAAAAGCGAGTCAGAAAGTTTATAGCAAAAACATATTTAATCCCTAAGGCACTAGTGTGCCTTGGGATAATGCTCTTGTACACTGTAAAGATTCGTCACTCGTATTGGTTTAATAAAATGCTGATTGGCCAGTAGCCAGGCACTAAGTATAGGCAAAGCACCAGACTAGGAGAATTCTGGAAAGAGGAAAGGCAGAGAGTCAGTCACCAGCCATATACAGAGGAAGCAAGATAAGAATGCCACATGGACAAAAGGTATCAAGCCACATGGCTAAACACGGACAAGAATTATGGGTGAATTTAAGTCATAAGAACTATTTAGTAATAAGCCTGAACAAATGGCCTAACAGTTTATAGTTAATATAAGCCTCTATATGTTTATTTGGGGCTGAATGGCTGTTAGGCTGGGCAGGACAGAAACTTCTTTACACAAACTCTATCTAAAATAAGCAGAAATTCATCTGCTAAGTAGTTTGGAAAGTAGTTTTATTGGTCTTTGAATTAAAGTCAGGCATCAGACTTCTAAACACCCCAAAATATGGCAAATTATAACTTAATAAAAAGGTAAATTTTATATTATTACACTAAACCCAGGAAACCAAGACATACATAGTCTGTAAGCAATCTGAAAAGCTGGTGGTCTGGTCTGTGTAAAGTCCTGTACTTATCTACATCCCTGACACTGGGATAAAGTTTGCCAAATTAGCATACCAACAGCACTGTCAGAAGGAAAAAGAAAGGTATTAATTCTGTTATCAGACTTAACTTGAGTGAGCAGTGGGAGAGTGTGTGTGTGTGTGTGTGTGTGTGTGTGTGTGTGTGCAAGAGCTCAAATACCTCAGCTTTGCCTCAAAATGCTAAGTAGCTAAGAATGACCTTGAATTTGTTGTCCTTCTGCACAGTGGTGGCGCAGGCCTTTAATCCCAGCATGAGGAGGTAGAGACAGGCAGATCTCTGAGTTTGAGACCAGCCTGGTCTATAGAGCAAATTCCAGGACAGGCTCCAAAGCTACACAGAGAAACCCTGTCTTGAAAAACAAAACAAAACAAAGAGAGAGAGAGAGAGAGAGAGAGAGAGAGAGAGAAAAGTAGGCACATCTGGAATGACATTAATGTGGCATAGTTGTTCAAAAGTTGAAAAAAACTGAAAAAAGAAAACAGCAGGGAAAATAGAAAATTAAATGGCCTATCTAAACTTCATGAAAATTGACTTTCAGTAGCCTCTCATGTCCTCAAGTAAACAACTGTGATACACAGTCGGATCTCCTTTAAGAGTTCAGCCTGGTCCCTGGAGACATAATCTGCTCCCTAGTCGGGGTCTAGGTTATCAAGACTATATGTGCTAAGAACGAATCAAAAGGTCTCTCTTGACCTCTACCTACCCTCTAAGTATCTGTGAGAAAATGACACGACATGCCAGGCTTATGTATCTTTAGAATGTAACAGAGACTCCTGTGGTCTACTTCCAGTCATCTCTCCAGATATCCATGCAAGGACCTTAAAGTGATAATGAGCCTGGGGGCAGCAGAGCACACCTTTGATCCCAGCATCCTGGAGGCAGAGGCAGGGAGATTCTGTGAGTTCCAGGACAGCCAGAGCTACAAAGAGAAACCCTTTCTCAAAAAACAAAATGAATAAATAAATAAATAAATAAATAAATAATGAAGAGATATGAAGAACCCAAATAATAATTTATACTTTTCCCCTTCTAAAGACTAACAATGATTCTTGATATTTCTTCACACTCAAATGTTTCCTTTGTTTCCTTTTTAAAAGATTCTTTTTTTAAAAAAATCTATTTAACTTTATATGTTGCTGTGAGGGTATCACATTCCTGGAATTGGGAGTTACAGGCAGTTGTGAGATGCATGTGAGTATTGGGAACTGAACTTGTATCCTCTAGAAGAACAACCAGTGCTCCTTACCCACAAAGACATCTCTTCAGCCCCTTGATTTTCTTTCTTTTTAATTTTTTTTGTTTTATTTATTTATTTATTATGTATACAACATTCTGCCTCCATGTATGCCCGCACACCAGAAGAGGGCGCCAGATCTCATTACAGATGGTTGTGAGCCACCATGTGGTTGCTGGGAATTGAACTCAGGACCACTGGAAGAGCAGCCAGTGCTCTTAACCACTGAGCCATCTCTCCAGCCCTTGATTTTCTTTCTTAAAATATGTGTTTTATACACCAGGCGGTAGTGGCACATGCTTTTAATCCTAGCATTCAAGAGGCAGAGGCAGGCAGATCTCTGTGAGTTCCAGGCCAGCCTGGTCTACAAGAGCTAGTCTCAGGACAGCTAGGACTATTAACACAGAGAAACCCTGTCTTGCAAAACAAAACAAAACAAACAACATGACATGTTTTCTGTTCAATCACGTGTATGTATAAGCACACGAGTATGAGTTCTCACAGAAGTTAGGGGTGTCAGAAAGCCTCCAACTCGGGTATTACGAGCCATATCATATGGATGCTGGGAACTGAACTCAAGTTCTCTGGAAGGGCAGTATGCATTCTTAACCACTGAGACATCTCTCAGACCTGCTGCTCTTGAAGTAAAACAGATCATAAATTTTCTATCACTTGACTCTTTACAATAAATCTGCACACATAGAAAGGACCCTGGCACTTACACATAAAGATCCATAGGGAACTCCTTCATCATGTGCGTTACAATGAACTCCACCATGAGGTCTAAACAGAGAATGGAGAAAAATAACATCAATCACAAGGAGACTCGCTTCTTACCTTTGAGCTGGGGGTGGCTTCTCAACACTCCTCACAATGAATGGCATCCCCACCTTAACGCTGAGTGACCTCCCCTGTCAATATCTATCTGCATGAATCCAATTTACTTTCTATGCCACATTTTAACATTTGCCTTTTTGAAATTAACAAGTAAAATGCTTCATACACTAAGTTTCAGCAGAAAGGCTCCTTCTCTTGTAAGTTTACAGCTGAACATCTCACTCTCCTGTTTCTAGATGGACCTGCCAGTAAATTTAGATACAAGGGAAATTTCATTGGACACATATCTCATTCCATAGCCTAAACATAAACGCTAGAGGGAAGTCTGAGACTAGAGCAACGAAGCAAGCAAAGACGAAATGGTGGAGCAGAGACTCAGCTCTAAAGCCCTCAATCCACCCCAGCTCACAATCACGCTGTTTGACAGACACTGACTGAAAGGGTCTGTGAGACTCTTAGGCAGTGGAGCGTGTTATCTATCTAGTCTTCACCACTGATTCTCAACTAGGGCGATTCAGGAACCAAAGCTGAACACCCAAGTGAAAATGAGATGCAGAGTCTCACTAAGTCCTCTAGGAAAAATGCATATTTGTGGATAGCCAGAAGGACCCAAGATACAGCCCTGTAAGCCCCAGCTCAACTATATTTACTCAAGGGAAGTTTTCCATGTCTGAATCTCAAATTTTAAACCTTCTGGCCTGACATATCATTGGAGCCCATTAAAGAGAAGTAAGAATTTGAAATCTTGGTGACAAGTAAAACATACTCATTTTTGTCTCAGAAAAGTCTTTTCTTTCTTTCTTTCCTCCCTCCCCGAGCAGCAGCATCCTTTCACTGTGCACTCTAGCCATTAGGGTTGATTTACAGTATATACAATAAATAAAACTTTGTATGTAACTATGCTGAGAAAGAGGCACATCATCCAAAACCTTAATCATGAAAAGATACCAATGCCTCAGAAAGCTGCCCTTCTAATGAAACTCACCCAGGACTGCACACACCAAGGGACGGCAAGGAAGGTTCTTGTCAGCCGCCTTCTTCCTGTGTCTCATAGGCTTCAAAAACACACAAAGAGAAAAGGAAGAGATTTACCAGACACTTGAACTGAAATACAGTGGTTTAACATGTTTCTCATACAAATACAATCTCTACTTCAGAGATTTACTCTCTCAGAGTCTATCTTGTCTTACTCTTTCTACTGGCAGGGGTAAGCAGGGGAAGGACAGGGAAGTACTTCTGAGTGATCAATGAAGGCCTGTGACCAAAATACAATTTACAGAGGCTGGAGAGATGGCTCAGCACTTATGAGCACTGGTTGCTCTTCCAAAGGATCCAAGTTCACTTCCCATCACCCACATGTCAGCTTACAACTCTTTATAACTCCAGTTCCAGGGGATCTGGTACCCTCACACAGACATACATGCAGGCAAAACACCAATGCAAAAAAAAAAAAAAATGAGAATAAGTAAATTAAAAAAAAAACAGGCATGCTGGTGTATGCCTTTGATCCCAGCACTCAGGAGACAGAGGCAGGTGGATCTCTTAAGTTCAAGGCCAGCCTGGTCAACAGAGAGTGAGTTCCAGGACAGTCAGGGCTAAACAGAGAAACCCTGTTTCATAAAACCAATAAATAAACAAAAATAGTTTCCAGCAAGACAAATAAATAGTTTGTCCTAAAAGGTATGGTGCACCTACAACAGGACAAATGTTACTTGCATTTTTTAAACAACAAGGATGGCACACTGGTACTCTTCTATAGTAATGAATACAATTAAGGAAAAGAAGAGGAACGGCTGGGAAGATGCTTCAGCTGGTAAAAGCAGTCCAAGTTCTACCCCCAGAAGTCACACAAAAACCAGGCACAGTGGCATTCATGTGAAACCCGAAGGGTAGGGGTGTCAGAGCCAGGCAGATTTCTTGGATTCCCTAGCTAGCCAGCCTAGCCTATTTGGCAAGCTCCAAACCAATGAAAGACCTATCTCAAAAACAGTACCTACGGAACAGTACCTAAGGTTCTCCTCTGAGGACTAGGTGCACACAATGTACCTGCACACACACATAAGAGGAAGTTGGGCCTGGCACTGTGGGATGTCTTTTTGACACTGTGATAATGTGTTGTTCTCATTGGTTGATAAATAAAGCTGCTTTGGCCTATGGCAAGGCAGGATAGAACTAGATGGGAAATCCAAGCAGAGATACAGGAGAAGGGAGGAATCTGAGAAAAGCTATCCAGTCACCCAAGGAACAACATACTAGCATACTGCAACCACATTGTAATAATCAGATTAATAGAAATGGATTAACTTAAATGTAAGAGCTAGTTAATAATAAGCCTGAGCCATCAGCCAAGCATCTGTAAATAATAGTAAGCCTCTGAGTGGTTATTTAGAAACTGTTAAGTGGGAGAGAAATCTCTGGTTACAAACGGTGTACCAACATGAGGCTCTCAAATTTCCATAGGGCCTAAGAAAGCTTTAAAAAAAAAAAGCAAACAGCTCCTTTAAGAGTTTCTGCAGAACAGTGAGTGAGCCCTTGAGCAGCTAATACATTAAGTAGGAACAAAAACTAAGTAAAAACGCCTGCCACAGTGCAAGCATCAGTATTCTAGGGCTCTAGGAAAGGTTTAATGCAGTTCTTGGTCAAGAACCTTTGATTGGGCTATGGGCTTTAAGATAGACTTTCACAAACCAAGAAGCAGGCAGAGACAGTTGTCAAAGCTGAGAACAGAGGGCCACATTGCTTAGCAGTTTAAAGGTCAAAAGGCTAAAAGATACACAGTAAAAGAGGTCTATATGGAAAAACCTCTAAACAGGTTCTAGTGTGTTTTACAATGTGTATAGGCTTATGAAAGAAATAAAAGGGTAGTGACAGATAATAGAAAGAAATAAATAGTTTTTAAAAATATAATAAAGTCTATTTGTTTTTTGTTTTTTGTTTTGTTTTTGTTTTTGTTTTTGTTTTTGTTTTGAGAGATTCTCTACAGCTTTTTTTTCCCAGCCAGTCCTGGAACTTACTCTGTAGACCAGTCTGGCCTCAAACTCACAGAGATCCACCTGCCTATGCCTCCTGAGTGCTGGGATTAAAGGTGTGCACACCACCATCAGGCATTATAGTAAGTCTTTAAAGAGAGATATAAAATAATTTTTAAAAAAGCCACCTAGAGATGGGAAATACACAGGGAGTCTGGATCCTGTAGGTTATTGTGTTGATTTTGAATTTTTGGATGGCTGATGGGCAAGAGACAGCCGCTGGGAGACATGAGACTGACTGAAAGAGAAACTGGAAAAATATACCAACCTAAATATTTTTAAAGTACCTTAACTTTAAAACAAAAATTTAAAAATATATCTGTAAAATAGAAGTTAAAAGATGATTGCTTTGGAGAAGCAGTTTTGCTTTTGTTTCCACAGGAAACAAGAGGCTACGGATTTGTTCTAGCTTAAGATGGAACAGTTTTGATCGGGGGGACATCCTGAACTTTGACAGGTGATATCTATCTACAAAGGTTATAGATGGTCTTACCAGGACTTGGCCATTATCTCAGATTTTCTCAGGGATCCTAAAGATACTTCATTCATAGACAGCAAGAAGCAGTTTGAAGAAAACAATGTCAACATTCCCAAGAGTTGGGGGATATGGATAGTATTTGATTATTTTGTGGGTTAGTGATATTTGTTATATTTAGGGGAATATAGGATAAAAAGACAACTATTAATCTCAAAATAATTTACATTGATATGGATTTTGTTTATTGATACAAATTTAAAGTCAATTTTGTTATACTGTATGTGTATTTCTACTCTTGTTTAAGCTATTATGTTTATGAAGATAACTTAAAAATGTAATGTATAGTTAAAAATACAAATTAATAGTCATATATAATTGTCAAACTTACAGCCATATTAGATTTTTTAGGTATACAAAGATATATTTCAATTAGATAGGTAATCTTTAAACACTTCAAAGACCTAGAGAATATGACATTTAAAATGTTTTAAGAACTTAGATTTTTCTCAGCAATGAGACATATATGCTCCTGGCAGCACCAGTTACTTCAAAGACAGTGATGTGAATCAAAGAAACTCATTATGGAGCTTGCTTACAACATAGCAAGACCAGCCATTTGGGCAAGAAACTGCTCTTGCCTGGACTGTTTGACAGTATGCTGTATGAACTGGACATGCAGGACCCACAGAAAAGCGACTGCTAAATTTTGCCAAAACAAGGAAGAATGGTCGTTCAGGGTTCCTGCTTCACAAAAGGAACTACCAGACATTCTGCAGGACACATAGGAAAGCAACTGATGAACTTTGCCAAAATAGGTGAGACAGTCCTTCAAATTTCCTGCTTCACTGAAAAGTCTGCCAGACACTCTAGGCCTGTAGGCGGAAGATAGATGCCCCAATGTTACAGAAGAACTTTGGGTGACTGTCCAGGCAGTCAGTTATCTCTGCCTTCTAGAGTTTTGGAAGTTGCTTGTAGTGCACTTCTTATTTACTCAGGTAATATTATATCCTTCTGGGGTCTTTGATGGAGTTTTATAGTTTTCCTTAGTTATAATAAAAGACAAATTAGATATGAAACTTTAGATTCACAAAGATAGGATAGATAATGGAGCATTGAATTTTGTCAAATACATATAGACTAAATATTGTAACTGTAATTCTTGCTTGATAACTGTTTTCTCATATATAATTTTACTATGTTAAAGTTAAAACCTTCATTTTAGATTAGACAGAAAAGGGGAAATGCTGTGGGGTATATTTCTGTATGCGATGAAAATGTGTTGCTCTCATTGGCTGATAGATGAAGTGTGTTTGGCATATGGCAAGGCAGGATAGAGCCAGGTGGGAAATCCAAGCAGAGATATAGGAGAAGAAAGGCAGAGTCTGAGAGATACCATCCAGTCACCCAAGGAACAACATGCCAGCAGACTGGGAATCCCCCAGCCATGTGGCAATACTTAGATTAATAGAAATGGGTTAATTTAAATGCAAACTAGTTGGTAATAAGCCTGAACCATTGGCCAAGCACCTATAAGTAATATTAAGCTTGTGTGAGTGCTTATTTGGAAACTGACAGGTGGGAGACAAACTTCTGATTAGTCTGGAGAAATGGCTCAGCAGTTGAGAGCACTGGTTGCTCTCCCAGAGGACCTGGTTAAATTCCCAGCACCCACATGGCAGTTTACAACTATCTGTAACTCCAGTTCCTGGGGATCTGACATCGTCTTCTGGCCTTCAGGTACTAGGCACATAAGTGATATACAGACATACATGTAAGCAAAACACCCATACACATAAGATAAATTTTAAAAGTAAAAACTAAATAAATAAAAAGAGAAGGAGAGAACCAGGTAGTGGTGGTGCATGCCTTTAATACCAGCACTTGGAAGGCAGAGGCAGGAGGATCTCTGTGAGTTCGGTGCCTGTCTGGTCTACAAGAGCTAGTTCCAGGACAGGCTCTAAAACTACAAGACCCTGTTCCCCCCCACCACCCAAAAGAGAGAGAGAGAGAGAGAGAGAGAGAGAGAGAGAGAGAGAGAGAGAAGGAGAGGATGGTAGCTGCTAAACAGTCAGCAACTATAGCAGTTGTGAGAGAGGAGACTAAGGTTCAAATCTAAACCATGCTGTAATACTTTTTAATACACTTCCAGCTTTATCTTTATCTTCCAAATTCCATTTTCTCCACCTCTCACATGAATAAATTAAAGCAGGCCATTGTCTTATTTAATAAAAACCATACTATATAGCTGGACATGGAGGTGGACACCTGTAATTCTAGCATGAAGGAGCTGAAAGCAGGAGAATCAGGAGTTCAAGACCACCTTAGGCTACACAGTGTGGTTGAGGTTAGTCTAGGTTACAAAAGACTCAGTGTTGACAGGGAGCATGGCTTATAAAGATGGCTCAGCAGTTTAAGGCACTTGCTACCAAGCCTGACAACCTAAGTTCAAGTTCTGGGACCCATGTGATACAGGGAGAGGATTAACTCCACTCCTGCAGACTGTTCTCTAATGTCAAAACTTGCACTGTGCCACATATAGAGGCAGAGAGTCACACATGTGCACATACATGCACACATACACTAAATGTAATTTTTAAAAATAATGAAAAATTAAATAAATACTACCCTTTGAAAAGAAAAGGATTAGACTTGGATATGTTCTAAAAAATCTATGTTGTTATATACTCCAGTATTACTATAGCAGATATTTGGTTGTAAATTTTTCTTTGTCTCTTTTTTTTCTTTTCTCCTTTTTTTGGGGGGGGGTGGTTTTTAGAAACAAAGTTTCTCTGTGTAGCCCCAACCATCCTGGAACTCAACTCTGTAATTCAGGCTAGCCTCAAACTTATAGATCCATCAGCCTCTACCTCCCGAATGCTGGGATTAAAGGCACCACTACTGTCCAGCTAGTTTGGATTTTTCTACCCTCAGATGAGCAAGAAACAGCTCAATGACAGAAATAAATAAATAAATAAATAAATAAATAAATAAATAAATAAATAAATAAATAAAAACCAGGGACAGACATGGATCTGCAGAAAAGCAATTGTGACCTGAGCCCTTTAGGCACAATTATCCAGCTATGTTTGTTCTTAAGATTCATACTAACTCAGCCAACACACAAAAACTTTTCCATTAAAAATAAGAAGTAAAAATAAGTCACACTTACCATTCTGTGTAAGTTTACTCGAAAATTCATGTTGTCATCATGTAAAAACGCGTTGGCATACTGATCCTAATAAAAACAGAAAAAGAACAACTGAGACTGAGAACTGTGTTCAGGAAGCTCAGCTGGGCATGCGGTACATGCCTGTACTACTCAGCTGGGCATGCGGTACATGCCTGTACTACTCAGCTGGGCATGGCGGTACATGCCTGTACTACTCAGCACTTGGGAGTGGAGACAGGAGGATCAGAAATTTAAGGTCATCCTGAACTATATATATAGCCAGTTTAATCTCAATCTAGGCTGCATGAGACCCTGTGAAAAGACAGAAATCCAATAGAGAGAGAACAAGAAAGACAGAAGGAAAGGAACTGGTGAGATACGCAGTGGATAAAGACATCTGCCACCAAACTTTATAACTGAGTTTGATCCTTGTAACCCATATGGTGGAAAGTGATCCCTACAACACATGTATTTGTAATCCACAAAAACTGTTCTCTGACCTCTATATGCAAGGCTAGATGCACAGGTACACATATATGCATACATACACACATAAACAAATAAAAAATTTAAAAGACAAAAGGAAAAATGGTATGGAAGTGGAGCAGAAGGGAGAGACAAGAAGTAAAAAGGGAGAGACAAAGGAAGGTGGGAATAAAGGAAAGCAGACAAGTAAGCAGGCAGACATGAATGGATGCATTTGTAATCTATCATACAAAATCCTTCCTCTTTTCTCCCCGCCAACCCAAAACAAGGTCTCTAGCCTAGGCTGGCCTCCAACTCCCTATGAAGCTAAGAATAGCCTCTAATCTTCCTGTCTTTACCTCTGCTTCTGAGTGCTGAGATTATAGGCATACCAGTTTATGCAAAGGAAGAAACTGAACCCCAGATTTGGTCATGCTAAGCAAGTATTTGGCCAATTGAATTACATTCTCAGTCCAAATCCTTGGACCTTTATAAACTACTTTCAGGATCCACTGGAGAGCTAATGTAATAAGCCTAGAGCCTTTACATCAACCCCTTACTTAAGCCATGAAATTGAGTAAAATTTCCCAGTATGTCTTTAGTGGATTGAAGATCTCTGAGAAAATTTAATACAATAAAATATTAAAATCCATGGGCTTGAGACAAAATGATGAGAGGAATCTGTTTTCCTAGTCTCACTTCCTTCCCATCTGCCCAAGGAGTCAGCTGTGCTGTGACAGCTTGGAGGCTCTCACAGGGGCAGAGGATGCATGTGCAGACGCCACATGCGGCTCCAGGAATGAGGAGGCCTGTGCTCTGCTGGGAGTGAGCTCAGCGCAGCAGGAAATAACTGCTATGCTGGCAGCACTGAAGCAGACAAGACCCCATCTCTCCCTGTCTTCTAAAGACTGGTGGAAAAATCAACTCTTCTCACAGTAGATTGGAAATAAGTATCCCCTGGCCCTCTCCCAACACCTTCCTGAGATCTGACATGCCTACAGACTCCAATTACAGAGACTGTTACAATTTGTGAAGAACAACTCCTTTAAGGATTTTCTTTGAATGTTTGTGAAAAGCAGTTATAGGAGGCCCACTGCTAATAGGCAGTTCTTCTAGCACCAGCTCCCCTAGCCTTGTGAGAATAGCTCATCTTCCCACAAGAATGCAGAAGTGAATGTGTGAGAGACCACTGCACCCTATGGACTACCTTGGCTGCTGCCTTACAAAACAAACGAGGGAAAGGAGTTCTGACGGGAGAGGCAGAAGTTATAAATTTAGCTCTAATCTAGCTCAAGTTCCACCATCTTTGGGAGTCACCACTAGCTAAGCCAGGCAAAAGGGCCTTCTCACAAAGAGTGACCTTTCCATAGCTAATCTTCTGACTAGCTGACTGGCTTTCAAATCACTGATGAGCCATCCTCCGTGTATGTCTACAAGGGTGTCCTCCAAGAGGTTACACTAAGGAACTGAAGACTCACCCTAAATATGTCTGCTACTATCCCATGGGCTAAGGACTCAACATGAACAAGAGGAGAAAAAAGAGAAAGCCTAATTGATAGACACCAATTTCTGCTTCCTAACCAGGGTCCTGAAAAGGCTGTGCAGGCCCCCACAGGCATGTCTGCTCTGCTGTGGTGGACTAGGTCATCTCAGACTAGGAGCCAAAATAAAGCCTCAAGTTCCTTTTTTAAAATCACATTGTGTGTGTGTGTGTGTGTGTGTGTGTGCGCGTGCATGTATGTCTGTGCACATGTGTGCGCGCACATGTGTGTGTATGTATGTGTGTGTGCGCGTGTGAGCACACACATCCACCAGAGTATGCATGTGGAGGTCAGAGAACAGTTTGCAAGAGTCAGTGAGCTCTCTTCTTCTACCACATGGATCTGAGGGATCAAACTCATGTCATCAGGCTCGGTAGAAGGGCATTAAGCTGAACAATCTCGCCCACATGTAAATTCTACTTATCTGGAATTAGACCACAAAAATGAGAAAAGTAACTCATACACACCTCTTCTTGCACCAATTCTAGTTCACCAACAAAATGTAACCATTCTCCTCTATTTTTCTTGTACTCCTATAGCCCCAGAATACTTTAGCTCCTTTTAAAACTTACTAAACACAAAAGACACAACACGGGCAGCTCTGAAGGGAAAAGACTGGCTTCTTAGAAAGCTTTAAATCTCTTGGTTAGAATTGCTAGGGACCAAAACACAGGTGGGTGTAGCTCAGTACACTCCTCTGTAGTATGCATAAAGTCCTGGGTTCAGTCCCAGCACTACATAAAACCAGGCATGGTGGGACACAGTGTGCCTGTAATTCTACTCAGAGGAATAAGAAGTTCAAGGTTATCTATAACTACATAGGAAGTTCAAGGGCAGCCTGGACTATAACAGACCCTCCGTCTTTAAAAAAGGGGGATGTCTGAAGAACCAGCCAGAACCATCCATCCTATTCTCAACTATCATAGTTACTACATCAGTTTTGTTTAGTTTTGTTTGAAATAGAGTCTCATGTATTCCTAGGCTGGCCTCAAACTCACTATTATAGTCAAGGAAAGCCTTGAAATGCTAATCTTCCTGGCTCCACCTCCAGAGTGCTGTGCCATGCCAGGATGTTTTTATGTGGTATTGGGAATCAAAGCCAGGGCTTCATAAATGCTAGGTAAGCACTCTACCAAAGGCTAATTTCCCAGCACCTCAAAGTTCACTAGTAATTCATCTAATGCTAATTGAGTCCATATGTGTGCCAGATAATGAGAACACAGTGGTGATGAAAGCAAAGGCCCTGTTACCTAAGCTCAATTCTAGAGGAAGGAGATGGACAACACAAAGGGCCCTCAAGTCATGCAACAGGAGCAGGTGGGCAGGAAAAGAGCATTCTGGAAGAAATCAACTTACACCCAAAGGTCCCATTAAGACCTACCTCTGCAATACATGTAAGGATAATCAGACAGAGTTTGCCGCTATGAAGCCTGTGTTCATCTGTAAAAAAAAAATAAAATAAAATAAAGTCTTCTCTATACATAATCCAAATCACATATAAATAGAGAACAAAGATGTCAATCATAAAGATGAGTATTGCATAGAAGCCATGAATGAAGGGCTAGGAGATAGACAGGAAGTAGAAGCGGGACAATGAGAACAGGAGTATTCTGGGAAGAAGGAAGCTCTTCCTACAGTCCTGCCCAGACACTGAAGAAGGAAGATGTGACCTGCCCCGCCGAAAAAGGTACCAAGCCATGTGACTAACATAGATAAGAATAATGGGTTAATATAAGTTATAAGGGCTAATACGAAGTTTGAGGTAATGGGCCAATAAGTTTATCATTAATATATACCTCTGTGTGATTTTCTTTGGGGCATAACGACTGCAGGAACTGGGCAGGACAGAAACCCCGAAAGCAGGCCCTCATGTTACACTCCCCAACCCTAGTGCCTATTTTAAAAATCAAACAGATTTCTCTTTACGGTAACAACACAAAAGACACAAGTACCAAAGGTTTTTAAAGGACTTTAAAAGCGAAACCAAAACAAAGGGATTGAAAACATAAAATTCTAGAAAAGGAACAGGAAGGAATGACTGAGGAAGCAGCTTCAATAACATAATAACATGTTTTTTAAAACTGAGCAGCAGGTTCTCATTTGTTTCACTACTATACTATCTAGTTAATGATGCTTCATAATATACCAACCAGTACAGGGTGCTGCAAATATGCTCAGAGGTTAAGAGTGTAACAGAGTAAAAATAAGCCACGTAAAAACGAAAAATTGACAGAGAGTCTGGATTCTATATATTAATGTGTTTTCTTTAAGTTTTTTGACTGTGAAGGAGCTAAGTATAGAGAGACATTTCATTGTATCAGCTGCTAAGCAAAACCAGCATGTATATTATAAAGGTATTATGACTTCAGAATTTGGGTCTAAGGATATGATGCTTTGGAAAAGAGGCTGTTCTTTTGTTTTCACAGAAGATGAGGATCTGTGGATTGCCTCCAGGTAAATATGGTATGATAGATTACGCCCTCCTGAAAGGTTGCCCTAAACACCCTCAAAAACTTACTTTGCTCAACTGCCGACTGAGATGAATCTAGCATACAGGATACACCATAAAAGACCTGATTAACAGTGCCCCCATACAGCAGGAAGAAGTTTGGAGAAAAAAACTACACCCATATTCCAAAATATTGTTTATAAATGTCCTTTTACATTTAAAGGGGGATATGATATAGATATGAATAATTTGCACTGGTATGGATTTTGCTCTATTGATATAAATTTAAGGTCAATCTTGTTATATGTATATTTCTGCTCTTGATTAAGATATTGTGATTGTGTAGTTTATTTAAAAATGTATAATTAGGAAATATAGGTTGTTAATGGATAATCATCAATAATAGTCAATGTAGTCATGTTAGTTAGATTTTCTAGATATATAGAGATATATTTAAGTTAGATAGGCATTCTTCATATCTTTCAAAGACTACAGAATATGGCATTTAAAATGTTTTAATAACTCAGGGCTTTTCAGGACAATGAGACACATCTGCTCTTGGCAGCACCAAGCTACTTCAAGAGGAAGATGGACATCGAAGAGGCTCCTTATGGAGTTGGTTAGCCATTTGGGCAAGAAACTGTTCTTGCCTGGACTGATGCATAAACTGGACATGAAGAACCCACAGAGAGATGACTGCTGACTTGCCTAAAGAAGAGATGATCCTTCGGTGTTCCTGATTCATGAGAATCTGTGAGACATTCTGTAGGACACAAAAGAAAGTGACTAAACTGTCTTTGAAATTTCCTGCTTCATGGAAAAGTCTGTTGGATACTATGAACCTGTAGGCCAAAGATGGATGTCCCAATGGTACAGAATAACTTTGGGTGACTGTCCAGGCAGCAAGATGTCTCTGCCATTTCTAGAGTTTTGGAAGCTGCTTACAATGTACGTCCTATTTACTTAGGTAATATTATATTCTTCTGGAGTCTTTGATAGAGTTGAAGAATTTATAGATATAGTTTTCCTTAGTTATGATAAAAAATAAAGTAGATATAAATACTGTAACTGTAATTCTTGCTTGATAACTGTTTTGTTATATGTAATTTTACTATGTTAAAGTTAAACTTTTCCTTTTTGTTTAAATAAAAAAAGGGGAAATGGTGCAGGAGGATCTTCTGTCTATGTGTGGCTTTCATTGGTTGAATAAAGAAACCGTCTTGGCCTTTTGATAGAGTAGCACTTAGGGAGGCAGAGTAGACAGAACTGAATGCTGTGAAGAAGGGAGATGGAGAGCCGCCATGAAGCTGCCAGGTCAGACACGCAGAATCTTTCCTGGTAAACCACGACCTTGTGGTGAACACAGATTAATAGAAACGGGTTAGATCAAGATGTGAGAGTTAACCAATAGGAGGCTAGAGATAATGGGCTAGGCAGTGATTTAATTAATACAATTTCTGTGTGATTATTTTGGGTGTAAGCTACCCAAGCTAGCCGGAACGAAAAGCAAGCCCTTTCCTCCTGTTACAGAGTGTTCTTCCAGAGGACCGATGTTTAATTTCCAGCTTCCATGTTCTATCTCTGATACCCTCTTCCAGCACACCCATGCAACTCACCATACATATACATATATATATGGTGCAGGAGAATTGTCTGTATTCTGTCAATCATGTTTTAAATAAACGCTGATTGGCCAGGTAGGGAGTGTAGGCGGGAAAACCAGACAGGAAGTAGAGGTGATGCAATGAGAACAGGAGAATTCTGGGAAGGAGGAAGTTGATTCCTCCCAGTCCTGGGCAGACCACCGAGGAAGCAGAATGTGACCTGCCAGCTGAGAAAGGTACTGGGCCATATGGCTAAAATAGATCAGAATAATGGGTTAATATAAGTTACAAGAACTAATAAGAAGCTTGAGCTAATAGGCCAATCAGCTTTATAACTTATAGAGATCTCTGTGTGATTTTCTTTGGGGCTAAACAGCTGTGGGGTACCAGGCGGGAAAGAAACCCCAACAAGCCAGCCCCTCATGTTATATATATACATACATATACACAACAAATGAATAAATAAACCCAAAGGAAAGCAGTTTACAGATGTAAATTGATACATACATTAGAAAAAAAGTATCTGAAAGCCAGGGATGGTGGTAAACACCTTTAATCTCAGCACTTTGATGGCAGAGAGAGCTAGATCTCTGAGTTCAAGGATCTCTGAGTTCTTGTTTACATAGTGTAAGTTCCAGGCCACTCAGAGCTACAGAGTGAGAACCTTTCTCAAACAAAAAAAAGAAAAAGAAAAAAAGAAAAAGAAAAAGATGTCTTATCTGAGACAAAGAAAATGTCAGCTCTACTGCTCCTAAGATCATAATGTGGAGTGGGATTCGGTTTAGTGGTAGAGCATTTGGTCACCATGGATAAGTGATGGAGGAGGGTTACCTGTCTATTGTGTTATTTTCATTGGTCAATAAAGAGACTGCCTTGGCCCCTTGATAGGACAGAAAATTAGGTAGGCGGAGTAAACAGAACAGAATGCTGGGAAGAGGGCAATGGGGCAGACGCCATGGAGTCAGCCACCAGGTCAGACATGCTGAATCTTTCCCAGTAAGCCACACCTCGTGTTGCTATACAGATTATTAGAAATGGGTTAATCAAGATGTGAGAGTTAGCCAGTAACTAACTCTCTAGAGATAATGGGCCAGGCAGTATTTAAATGAATACAACTTATGTGTTGTTATTTCTGGGGCTAAGCTAGCTGTGCGGGAGCTGGGCAGGATGAAAAGCAGGCCTGCCCGCAGCCCCTCACTACAGATAAGGCTCTAGGTTCCATTCCCAGAACACAAAATACACACATAAGCAATGATCATGAGATCCTGTAGCCAGGGGATAACACAGCAAGTCTTAGGCTAAGACAGGGGAAGAGATGGGCAAATGAAGCCATGGAACAGTAATTTTTTTTAAATAAACTATTTGCATACCTAACCTTGCCCTTGCCATATTTAGACCTCCCACTGGCAAAAATACATTGCAGTCTATAAACGCTGCAACCACACATACTGATTATTAATTAGTCTGTAATTTGGACTTGTATTTATGAACCTGAAGTGACCAGGACAGAGGCTTATATAACTGTTAAAGCTAAAAATGCATTTCAAGAGCCTCGATTCACTGTGTTATATCAAGCAAAGCTTAAAAGTTCATTTTTCTGGGTCACATTCATGCAATTTCTTCTGCTGTGGTTTTTGCAATATTTGTAGAGAAAGGAACAGGCTACCCACTTCCATACAGAAGCAATAGCCTCAGGAAACTCAGATACACCAGAGTCTTGTTATCCTTGCCTGCCAGATCTCACTTGCCAAGTCTCAGAGAACCAATCACCTCAGCAGTTCCCAGTGGACTGTTCTGTTAGGAGTTAGTGACCTGGAATACCTGCATGGAGTTAACCCTATGTTCTATGTCAGCAGTAGATGACCTGGAATACGTGCATGAGTTAACCCTATGTTCTATGTCAGCAGTCGATGACCTGGAATACCTGCATGGAGTTAACCCTATGTTCTATGTTAGGAGATGGTGACCTGGAATACCTGCATGGAGTTGACCCTATGTAGCGCTTACTCTTCAAAGAGTAACATGCAATACAAGAGGAAAAGCCCAAGTTTCCAAGGTGGAGCTCTCCAATACTAGCTCACGCAGTGCCTAAACACAGCACAGTTAGACTCATATACCCAGGCTCCTTTTGGCTCTGGCAAGTTTTCGTTTCCCATACTGATCTTTCAGCTTTCCAATCTCTGTATTTCAGTGTTTCCTCCTCACTCCAGAGCCCCTGAGCCTTCATTCCTTCTTTTCCAGGGCTCTTGAAAACCCTTACAACAGAAACCTGCTCACTAGGCAAACAAGAGCCTTCTAAAGTAAAAATCATGCCAAAAGGAGCCTAAGCCCACCTCAGAGGCTCTAAGGACACTCTCCTCACATAAAGTAAGGAAGCAAAAACAATCGATTTTTAACAATTTTTGGTTCTACAATAAAATTGACTTACAATATATGGAAATCTGAAGTTATTCATAGACCATAAGTTAATAACTCAAGTGGGCATGGTAGTACACATATGTAATTCCAATACTTGTAAACAGACAGGAGGATCAAGAGTTCAAGGCTAGCCTCTACAACAGAATAAGTATAAGACCAACCTAGGATACCGGAGACAAAGAAAGAAACCGAGAGAGAGAGAGAGAGGGAGGGAGCAAGGAAGAGAGAGGGAGAGAAAGGAGAGAAAAAGGGAGAGAGAGAAAAGTCTTCATCTGAGAAGCTTCGTAAAGCAACAGCCCGTGGTAGTAGTATGAATGAAAATGACCCCCACTGGTCCACACGGAGTGGCACTATTAGGAGGTGTTAGAGTGAGTGTGGTTTTGTTGGAGGAAGTGTGTCACTGGGGTAGGCTTTGAGATTTTAGATATTCAAGCTAATCCCAGTCTCTCTCTCTCTCTCTCTCTCTCTCTCTCTCTCTCTCTCTCTCTCTCCCTGTTGCCTGCAGATCCAGATATAGAACTCTCAGGTACCTCCCCAGCACCGTGTCTGCCTGCATGCCTCCATGCTTACCACCATGACAACAGATTAAAACTCTGAACTGTAAGCCAGCCCCAAAGAAATGTTTTCCTTTGGCTGGGTAATGGTGGTACACACCTTTAAACCCAACACTTGGGAGGCAGAGGTAGGCAGATCTCTGTGAGTTTGATGTCAGCCTGGTCTACAAAGTGAGTTCCAGGATAGCCAGGGCTATTATACAGAGAAACCCTGTCTTTGGAAAAAAAAAAAAAAAGATGTTTTTCTTTATAAGAGTTGCCATGGCCATGTTGTCTCTTCACAGAAATAGAAACCCTAACTAAAACACCATGGCTAATGCAGAAACCAGTAACTGTCAAAGCATCAAAACTAAGTAATGGTAGAATACTTGCCCTTAAATGGGACAGCTTTATCACCTGCTCCAAGGCCTAGGAAACGTCAGAGCAGAGGGAACAAAGAGAATGTAAGAGCCAGAAGATAGTCATGCAGCAAAAAAGCAGCTTCTGGATATGACACAGCAATTACACCCATGAAGTCACTGTAGCTAGGGCTACACACACAAGACCTACACAATATTGGGGATCAACATTTCATCCTGAGGACCCATCCTTCCTTCCGGGACTACTGGCGATTAACAGCTACTTGGGGAGGAATGTCATTTTCTTCAGTAGTGTAGCTATGGATAAGTTACTCTTGCTCCAGAAAATAGCCTCCCACACTGAGCAAGAAACTTCTAATTAAACTCAGGGGGTGCTACAGATGGTCTCAACAATCATTGGTCTTTCAGAAGACATGACCTTGGTTCAGTTCCCAGCACTGACAGACAAGTGTTCATAATTCCAGCTCCAGGAGATCCAACACCTTCTCCCAACCTCCACAGGCTCCTGCACTGCACATGTGGTATATAAGCATGTGTTCAGGCACACATACACATGAACATAAAATCAAACAGTATTTAAACTCAGTAGGCCACACACAAAAAGAAGTCATGTAAGTAGTATTGGGATGGGCGGTGGTGGCTCACGCCTTTAATCCCAGTACTCAGGAGGCAGAGGCAGGTGGATCTCTGTGAGTTCGAGGTCAGTCTGGTCTACTAATTCCAGGACAGGCTCCAAAGCTACAGAGAAACTCTGTCTTGAAAACCGAAAGGAAAAAAAAATCTCTATTTTCAGGGCTAGTCAGTTCTTTCAAATAGGCCAAAAACTTATAAACCATATTTTAAGGTCACTTAGCATCAATAAAAATAAAATGTCTTGAAAGAAAGAAAGAAAGGAAGGAAGGAAGGAAGGAAGGAAGGAAGGAAGGAAGGAAGGAAGGAAGGAAAAAAGAAAGAAGTATTGGGGTAAAAGGTACATTGAGGTGTGGAGAGATGGCTTAGCAGTTAAGAGCACTGGCTACTCTTGGAGGGATCCTGAGTTCAATTCCCAGCAGCTCGCAAACTTCTCTAACTGTAGCCCCATGGGATATGATGCCCTTTTCTGGCATGCATGCCTAAAGACAAAACATTCCTATGTATAAATAAATCAATCATCAAAACAAGAAATCGAGATGGAACTTGTTGGGAAGAGGCTTTCAGTGGGAGAAGGAAGAAGATCAAAGATCAGGACCAGGCATGGTGATGCACGCTTTAATCCCAGAACTACAGAGGTAGAGGCAGTGAACTGGGAGTTCAAGGCCAGGCAGGTCTACACAGTGAGTGCCAGGCCACACAGGGCTAAACAGTGAGTCCCTGTGTCAGAATTTAAAAAAAAAAAAAATGAAGAAAATTTAAATCTACTTAAAAAGCTACTAAAGTTCATTGTCTAAATGTATGACACTGTCCGTTTTGTAAAAAGAAGAAGGAAGAGATTTGAGGGTAACTGAAGAAACTTCAATAGGAACTAAATTTCACACACTCTTGGAGAGCCATTTTGGGGTTTTGTAGATATAATAATGACATTTTAGCTACCTGGGAAAGTGTTTTTGAACTTTGTGAACTAGTGATACTGCAGTGTTCTTTAAAGTGTTACAGCCAAAACAACGAAGACACAAAAAGGAACTTAAGGCAGATGAGACAGAGCAGAACATCAGTGGGATGCAGGTGGTCACTGTACATAGATAAACAGACAGACAGAGCAGAATGTCAGTGGGATGCAGGTGGTCACTGTACATAGATAGACAGACAGACAGACAGATCTCAATTTGTCTCAAAAACCACAACAAAAGACAAAAATCAGAACCAAAAAGAGAAAGTTGCAGCAAATGAAGACCAGAAGACCTGGAAATCGGAAAGGAAAAGCAGCACTGCTCCAGACCCGTGGGCATGGCGGTGGTACGCTGTAGTCCAGGCCCTTAGCTCACAGTAATAATCCCAACACTTGGTTCTCTCTCTCTTCTGCACTGTATCTAGGGTTAGCGGCTTTTCTATTTTAAATGATAAGCACACAGCCCCCCAGTCCCCTGACTCTCACCACAAGTCGATGCTCCCAGTGTGCATCCTCAGAAGGGGATCCCCTGAAGCATGCTAACCCTCACCCAACTCCCTCAGAAGAGCGTGCATCCACTCACCAAAACCTGCTAAGCACACCTGCTAATTCTTGTACAGATCAACTTTTTTTCCTTTTCTATATTTAAGCCCTCTCCTCCACCTTCAGGTTTTCCCAGCACCATCTAACTGTCACCCAGTAGTGAGAAATCACTGTTTTCCAGAGCCCAGGTCCACCACCTGCACAGGAGGCCCCAATAGGACACAGATGAAAGCCTCAAAATTCAGCCGCTGCTCTTTGACGCTAGGCACATCTCCAAGACAACATGTCTTACCTTTAGTGTCCTGCATGACAATCGAGCTATACTTTAAGAAGGTTATCAGTAGGTTACTGGTCTGTACATCTGCATCCAATGAGAGTTCCACAGAACTTATAACTGGAATAGAACAAATAAAACACTTAGCCCATAACATATTCCACCTAACACTCTACCCACATAGCCAATTTGCCAGCAGGCAAGAAAATGACTAAATAAGCTTTTCCCACAACAGAAGGAGGACCAAGTACTTTCCATAAAACTTCTATCTACTCTCACCAGGCCTCTTGAACCCCTGTGCCCCATGCTCCCCCAAAACCTGCCAACCTTCTTTTTCATCTAGGGTCAATCCAGAAAGAGTTTTTTCTCCTAATATGCTAGAAAAGGATGTAATTCTATTCCAGCCCCAAGTAATCAAGTTCAAGGTCCTTCTTTGAGGCACTGTCATTTCTAACTCAAGGAAAGTTATACTGAATATAAATGAGCCTTGCTTTGACGAGTCCTTTACTTAAAATAAAGGAAGAATTCTTCCTAATAAGGAGAAATTTGCTCAGCACGAGAACAAGCCCTTACACTAAAAGTACCCAAGATGAAAGGAGCGAAAGTTGAGGCAGAACTTTGTGCAAATTCTACCCCTTCATCCTTTCCCCGTAAAAAGAAACCTGAAATGCGAAAGCAGAGAGAAAACAGGGCACACCACTGAGCAGCACCCTGGACTGGAAGTTTACATATCGAGCCTCTGCTTCTAGGAGCAGATCTTTCGGTCCACTGTCCGGGCCCCAGTGTGCAGTGGGAAATCAGAATCAACCCAAGCACAGCAGCTTTCACTTGGAGCTCCCGAGATTTAAAGATGTCAAATTAGAATTAGTCAGCCGGACCACACGCCTTTAATCCCAGCACTCAGGAGGCAGAGACAGGCGGATCTCTGTGAGTTCGAGGCCAGCCTGGTCTACAAGAGCTAGCTGCAGGACAGGCTCCAAAGCTATAGAGAAACTCTGTCTCAAAAAACAGAGAAACTCTGTCTCAAAAAACCAAAAAAAAAAAAAATTAGAATTAAGTCAACCACTTAATGCTTTAACAGTGTCCAAAACATACACATACACAGAAAGAGCCTCAAGATGGCCCAGAGACATATTGAAAATCTATAGCATTCGGCTGTATTTTAAATTATGAACACACTTCTAAGTTTGGGGTATTAGTCATAATATGTATTCATGACTATAATGGATCCCTCTGGAGTTATTACACTGCATGCAAAGGACATTTATTAACAATGGGAAACACTGTACATTATGGCTCCACAATACACAGCAAAAAGCCTTATGAGAAGAAATTAGCATGCCCAATCCTTGGCTGTTTTCCCATAATTTGGCCCCCAATAACAAATAAAAGATAAGTTTATTTTTATATTGAAACACTAAAAGATGTCCTGGCCAGACTGGGCTATAGATATGACTCTGTCTCAAAAACAACAAACCTAAAAGGTCTCATAGGCTGTCATTTCAAACCACAACCATTCTAAACTCAGAACCCATAATCATTCCTTCGTTATCTAACTGGTAAGTGGAAGCTTTAGCCCACTCACGCACAGTGATAACTAGAAAACTATCTTACATAATATGTGGAAATATAGAACTATATATATTTTTAGTTTACCAGAAAGTCCTCTCATGCCAAGGCGGAGTTGTCAAATGTCAAGTCTGAGCTGCGAACAAATGCTACAGCTGACTGCTGGCTTTTAAAAATAATAGCTCCAGTGACATACCTTTAAATATAACTGGGCTACAGAGCAGCACTATAATTAAAAACCAAAAACTGAAAATAAGGCTACAATACTTAGGACCCCTACAGAAAGGAAATGAGTTAGGAGAGAAGAAAAAATAAAATAAAGGCAGAATCAAGTCCCTCACGATGTAAAGGCTCCCTCGTAAGCAAGCATCGCTCCTTAGCCGCTGCCTTTATAATGTTTCTCGGGAGCTTTTGTCAAGAGAGACAGTCATCTGAAAGTGGGCTGATTTGTTCCCACAAGCAGACTAAAAGCTCAGCAGTTGTAGGTAAGCACAAATCCTGCCATTGCATAATCAAGGGTGTGGGTGAAGTGTTCACAATCAACAGCTGAAAGGCAGGTCTCTGAAGCATCCAAGCCCCAACATCACATGGAACTGAGAACACACACACTCACAAACACACGTTTATGGCTTTGGATATCCATGGTAACTAGGCAAGCTCCATCCTTAAGGAGAAAATACAGTGTTTCCATTGGCTTAGCAGTGACCTGAATAAACAGATAAGTAGGCAATCCTCACTATGCTTCTTCTCATTAAGATATTTTGGAATTTGGCTTTCAATTCTAAAAAGCCCCAATTTGCTGTCATAGATCTGAAGATCAATGACAGTTCCTTGCCATACTCCTCTGCTGCTTATACTGAATTAAAAATCGAATGCTCAGTGCTATATAAAAATGGGGTGATGCACACCTTTAATTCCAGCACTAAGGAGCCAGAGGCAGAAGAATCTCTGTGAGTTCAAGGCCAGCCTGGTCTACAGAGTGAGTTCCAGGACAGACAGGGCTACACAAAGAAACCCTGTCTGGAAAAACCAATATGGGCTGACTCTACCATCTACCCATCTATGACCTGAAGGGACTGGTCTTGTGGAACCATAGCCCCAGGCTCTTCATGCTCGCGCAACATGGGGCGCAACATCGGGATATCTGAGAGGAGTGTCGTGGAGGAGTCAGGACTGACGGTGTAGAGAAGCCAAAGGCCAACAACTCACTGCAACCAACATTTCCAAGAAAGGTTCTTTGGGCAAAAGGGTCCACTGTGTGCTACACCACAGCTCCACTACAACAATCAAATGTGTGATGGAGAGGCAGGCAAGACAGGGGATCAGAGTGAGTTTTTGAGGATTTTTGGGGGGCGTGGGGGTGGCTATAAGGTGGCAGACATGGAAGAACTGGGAAATGAGTGCGACTGGGGTGCAGGATGTGAAATTTGAAAAGAATCAGCAAAAAAAAAATGTTACATTTAAAAAAAAATGTAGGGGGTGAACCACGCAGTAGTGGCACACACCCTTAATCCTAGCACTCCAGAGATAGAGGCAGGTGGACCTCTGTGAATTCGAGGCCAGCCTGGTTTACAGAGTGAGTTCCATGACAGGACAACCAGAGTTGTCACACAGAGAAACCCTGTCTCAAAAAGAAATTATTATTGTTGTTATTGTGTTGTTGTTGTTGCTGCTGTTATTATTATTACTGGAAAGAGCTCATGCGCCATGGCATGCATATGAAGGTCAGAGGACACTTCTCTCCACCTTATGTGGATAACTATGGGCTCCAATCTAGGTGATCAGGCTTGTTCAGCAAGATCTTTTACTCATTGAACTATCTTGACTGTCCCAAAGTTGGACATTTCTTATACCATTTATACAAAATGAGCTCAACATTTGAAGTGTGACACCAAGTATTAATGTACTTTCCAACTGTTTCAGACAGGGCCTCATAAAACCCAGGTTGATCTCAAAGGCACAAGGTAGCTGAGGATGACCTTGAACTTCTGATCCTCTTCTTCCACCTCTATTGCAGACTTGTACTGCAATGCCAGACTTTTATAAGGTACTTATACATGCTAGGCAAGCCCTCTACCATATTTATATAATAAAATCCAATCTTTCCAATGAGCACTTGCAGGACAGGGTCAGTGGGCTTTTTGGTCACTTCCAGCTCTAACACTTCAGAGCTCTAAGATTATCTACGGAGGACAAACCAGAGCCATACTATTTCTTGGGTTGCATGAGTTTGTGGGGTTTTTTTTGTTTGTTTGCTTGATTGATTTTCGAGACAGGGTTTCTCTGTGTAACAGTCCTAGCTGTCCTGGAATTCATTTTGTAGATCAGGCTGGCCTTGAACTCACAGAGGTCCGCCAGCCTCTGCCTCCCAAGAGCTGGAATTAAAGGTGTGCGCCACCACTGCCCAGGTGCTCCTTCCTCCAACTCTCCTCCAGCTGGGATTACAGGCATATACTACCACACATGGATTTAAATAAAATGCTTTCTTTTAAGATTTATTTTTATAATTTTAATTATGTGGATGTGTGTGTACCTGAAGGGCCGGAGTGTAAGGTTCCCTCTGAGCACAGCAGCTGAGAGCTGCCTGACGCGGGTGCTAGGAACTGAACTCTTAATTGCAAAGCCACTCTCCGGCCCCAAGTGCTGTTTCCTTACACACAGAAGAAACACTCCACTCAACTATCTTTCCAAAATTTTCTCTGGAACTTCAGAAAGTTCCAGAGAATAGTATCATATACTTTCTTTTCTTTTCTTTCTTTTTTTAAAAAAATATAGTCTACTGTGCCACCTAGGATTGTCTCAAATCACTGTGCTCAAGTGGCTTTTCCACTGCAGACTGCAAACACTGGAAATATAGGGCACATGACACAGTCTCCAATGCAGACAAATTTCTTCCCTTTCTTTTCCCTTTTCTCTTTCTCTCCTTCTTCTTACTCGGTCTTAGGGGTTAAACGCAGGGCTCATGCATGCTGGGCAAGTACTCTACCACTAAGTCATATCCCCATCTCATTTTAAAATTTGAGACAGGGCCATGATAAATTGACCAGGTTGGCCTTTAACTCATTACGCAGATCAAGCAGGCCTTGAATTTGTAATCCTTCTACTCAGCCTCCAAGTAGCTGGGATTACAGATGTGTACCAACATTAATTACCCACTCAAACAAATTAAAAGAATTAACAAATGTATACTTTGCTCAATAAAACTGTGCTTAGCACTGAAAGATCTAGAATCAGCCAAGCAATGGGTGGTGCATGCCTTTAATCCCAGCACTCAGGAGGCAGACAGATCTCTGAGTTTAAGGCCAGCCTGGTCTACAGTGAAGTTCCAGGGCAGTCAGGGCTACACAGAGAAACCTTGTCTCTAAAAACTAAAGAGGAAGGGAGGGAGGAAGGGAGGAAGGGAGGGAGGGAGGGAAGGAGGGAGGAGGGAAGGAGGGAAGGAGGGAAGGAGGGAAAAGAAGAGAAGAGAACAAGAAAAAGAAAGATCTAAACTCATATTAACCAAGAGCACAATAAAAATGGTGGCCTCACCATCAGAGGAGGGTGGAGTGGTCCCAAGTGGTGTGACTGGGGCTGCTGGAGTAGGACTGACAGGGGTTGTCACCAACCCCATTTCTGGGTGGCTCTGAAAGAGGAACAGATGGGTAAGAAAAAAGAAAATATAGTTCTCTTTAAGTACCCTCTACTAAACATGCTTACTGGCTGTTCAGAATCAGAATGAGACTGCCTAGCTCACTGAGGGCCTGTGTTTGGTGCCCTGGGTGCTCGCTGAGCTCTAACAGGAAATGCTGCGGGTTAATTTTCATTATGACATTTGGGTTCCAGCCAGGCGGTGGTGGCGCAGCCTTTAATCCCAGCACTTGGGAGGCAGAGGCAGGCGGATCTCTGTGAGTTCGAGGCCAGCCTGGTCTACAAGAGTTAGTTCCAGGACAGGCTCTAAAGCTACAAAGAAACCCTGTCTCAAAAAAAAAAAAAAAGAAAGAAAGAAAGAAAGAAAGAAAGAAAGAAAGAAAGAAAGAAAGAAACTTGGATTCCATTACACAAGTTTTTTCTGTAAAGCCACATATTTAAAAAACCAATAAATTATTCAGATGTATGAACTATTTTCATGACTATAGAACTGACAAACAGATGTAGGTAAACTAAGGAGATGCTTAGGAACCATAAAAGGAGCTAAGCTGATGGCAGGCTTACTGTTAAAAAAAAGAAAATAATAAATAAAATAAAAGAGCATGTAAGCTAGCAAGATGGCTCAGAGGGTGAGGTACTCATTGCCAAGTTGATGACCTGAATTTGGTACCTAGGATTCATATGGTAGAAGGATAGAACCAACTTCCTTTTTTTAGAATATGAAGTTTCAGGGTTTTTTTTCCATACTGGTTTTTTTATTGATTTTTATTGAACTCTACATTTTTCTCTGCTACCCTCCCTGCCTCTCCCTTCCCCCTCCCCCAGAACAAACTTCCAAAAGTTATCCAGTTATCCTCTGAACTCTACACTAACACCCCGAACACACACACACAAAGTGTAAGGAAAATCCACGCAAGGATATGTACAGTGCAGAGGCAGAGGCAAAAATCTACATGGACAACGTAGGTGACCCGTGTCCTTGGTCTGCCTCAGCTACTCCCACTTCAACTGGAAGAAGGAAGCTCAAGAGCCGCTCTTTTTAGAATCTACTCTCTTTTCTTTTCTTTTTTTTTAATTTATTATTTTATCTGCATTGGTGTTTTGCCTGCAAGTATGTCTGTGTGAGCGTGTCAGATCTTGGAGTTAAAAGATAGTTGTGAGCTGCCATGCAGGTGCTGGGAATTGAACCTGGGTCTTTTGCAACAGCAGCCAGTGCTTTCAACCGCTGAGCCATCAACTCCTGCCCCAATTCTTTCTGTTTTCAACAGCTTTGCCAGTCCTTTACCTTCCCCACCTCTTCTTGAGTCAGTTAGGGAATTTGATAGACAGACAAGAAACTTGGTGAAAACAGCAAACTTTCTTACATTATCTTATGAAAACTAGTAGGAGTTCAAAACATACCCCAAAACAGCATATTGTTTTCAAAACAAGGCCTTACTTTTTAGTTAAAATTCTACTAGTAGATTCCTTTAAAAGAAACATACACACAGGCACAGTAGCATAAGCTTTTAATCCCAGAATTCAGGAAGCGGACAGGTGGATCTCTGAGTTCAAGGACAGCCTCAAGCCTACACAGTGAGTTCTGTCTCACAAAGCTGGGGGGGGGGGGGGGATATGATAAAGAAAGAAACTTACATACATATTTTAAACAGTGTGCCATTAAGATAAAAACACTTCATTTTTTTAAAGACAGTTTTCACAGGCTACAGTCTTAGCTTGTTTTGGTTCCTTCCTGTGCCAACTACCCCCTTAGGCATACAAGCAAGTATCTTATATATTCTTGGCATCAATATGTATAAACTATTTGTCTGTTAACACCTAACACATCCTGGTTAGGATGGTTTTCTACTTTTGTTCTCTGGTAAGATAGTGGCATATGTACTTGGCCTATTCTACCTCCAGTTGTAATTACATAGAGGTTTAGAAAGAAGACGGCTTAACAGAAAATCCCATATACTCCATAGAGAAAATAATACCAGCAGACTCTGATAGGGAAAATGCAGTAATCTCAACTCCTTTTTTATTCTTCTTACTTTCTGTGTGATTTATTATTTATTTTTAATTTTATGTTCATTAGTGTTTTGCCTGCATGTATATCTGTGTGATGATGCCAGATTCCCTGAAACTGGAGTTACAGGCAGTTGTGAGCTGCCATGCGGGTGCTGGGAATTGAACCAGAAACATCTGGAAGAACAGCCAGTGCTCTTAATCACTGAGCCATCTCTCCAGCCCCATCGCAACTCTCTCATACGGTAATGGAATCAGTAAACTAGTCCAGACATAATTTTACATGCCATTAGCCCTACTTCAGCACCAGTTCCTTTGAGGATACCACAAAGCATAGACAACTGATGCGACACCATGACAGCCATCAATGAATGTAAGCAGAGTTTTCCGGGAGGATTGTTTGTTTGTTTTTTTAAGACAGTTTCTCTTTGTAACAGTCCTAGCTGTTCTGGAACTAGTTCTGTAGATCATACTGACCTTGAACTCTCAGAGATCCACCCTCTGCCTCCTAAGAGTTGGGATGGACATTTTCTTTATGGGTTTTTGTTTGTTTGTTTGTTTTTTTGGTTTTGTTTGTTTTGTTTTTGGTTTTTTTTGGAGACAAGGTTTCTCTGTAGCTTTGGTGCCTGTCCTGGAACTAGCTCTTATAGATCAGGCTGGCCTCGAACTCACAGAGATCCGCCTGCCTCTGCCTCCCAAGTGCTGGGATTAAAGGCGTGCGCCACTACCACCCAGCTCAGAGGAGAGGTCAGAGGATATTGCTCAGAGAAAGCATTTGCTTAATATGTACAAGGTCCTAGATCTAATCCTACAATATCACAAAAGCAAAAGATAAATAAAATGAAATTTGAGGGAGAAAAGGATTGGGAAGGTGGGTGTGACTCACTTTGCAGCCTTGGCTGACCTGGAACTGGATGTACAGTCCAGGCTATACTTGAACTCATAGAGATACACCTGCTTCTCTCCCCTGTGCTAGTTTTAAGGGTACAGGCCACCACACCCAGCCAGTATTGGGACCTTTAAGAGAACCAACCTGAGGGAACTGGAGAGATAGCTCAGAGGTTAAGAGCACTGACTTCCAGAAGTCCTGAATTCAATTCCCAGCAACCACATAGTGACTCAGAACCATCTGTAATGAGATCTGATGCCCTCTTCTGGCTACAGGCAAACATTGAGACACAGCACTGTATACATAACAAATAAAATAAATCTTAAAAAAAAAAAAAAAAGAAAAAGATAACCAACCTGAGCTAATACTGTGATGAAGTTTCGATTTAAATGGACAGCTTCATAAAGTGCCAGAAGAATGGCTTCATTGGTTCTAAGGAAAAAGAGAACAAATCAGATTTCTTCTTAAAGAGTAAAGAATGTAAAACACAACCATCAAGAGCTCCTCACTGTCAATCCCTCTATTTAGCCTTTGGACATATGCAAAAGAGCACAGGTTAAAGGCCAATTCTTCCTGCCCCCAACCCAGCTAAACCTGAGGGGGTTGATAGCCAGCGCTTATGCATTTCAGTCACCGCATCTGGGAGACAGAGCTAGTAATTGTGATCTAATGACCTAATGCTCCATAGGCAGAGGTAACAGGATTGCCACAAACTCAAGGCCAGCCAGGATCTACACAGAGAGTTCCAGGGCAGCCAGGACTACACAAGGCAAGATCATGTCTCAAAAACTTTATTTTTTTTTTCTTTAAGACAGGGTCTCATGTCCAGATTGGCCTCAGCTCACTATGTAGCAGAGGGTGACGGTAAACATCTGATCCTCCATCTGCACCTCGGGAGTGCTGGGATAACAGGCATATGCCAATCACACCCAGTTTATTTAAGGACGTCAAACAGACATTCTATCAACACCAGCCTCTAAAGTAGAGATCTCCAAGAATCCATGGTTGCCTAAACCCCAAGAAACGCTGGAAAAATCATTTTAAAGGTTGTAATCTGTAAAAGGTTGCAAGGAGGTGACACTTTCTGCTCTGGGCTCTCTAGTCAGCAAGAGAGTCACACAAAGTCCAAGTACTTACTGTACCGAGATTTTCTCAGGGGCATCTGCTATGAACATGCTGCCCACCTGTGGACAGAAGGAGGAAGCACAGACTGTATACAGGAGGCCAAGAGAGAAGCTCTGGGCTTAGGAAATTAATCAGTGAAAAACCATTGCTTCTAGTAACAAACAAGGAACTCAGGACCATCAGTGACACAAAAACCAGCCCACTTTGAAAACTGTAAAAGTCTTACTAATAATGAATGAAATAATGAGATTCCTACTACATCATCTAGGCTTTCAATGTGTAAGTTTAGTAACAATGTCAAGGTAGGTATCAGCCTAAATATTCTAATCACTGCATGTTTCCTGGAAACTGTTTATGTGCAATCAGAACTGACTCATAGAGAACTTCAAGTTTGTCCTGACACCTACAACTTCAATCCCAAAGTCACAAGTTCAAGGTTAGTCTGGGCTACATAGACTATGCAGGGGCGACAAGTCAAAAACTTGTCTCAAAAGGAATAAAAGAAAATAACTTTTTAAACTTCAGAGAGAGTAGGCTGCTATCAACCAGCTAGAACTGTCTATGTAAAACCGGTTCTCCTTTCAGATCACAGGGTTTGAGTTTATATACTGTCAAGGATGGCAAATAAACACCTGGCACAAGCTGTCTTTAATACATGTGATTCCAGAAGTCAGATGTGGTGGTGCACACCTGCAAACTAAGTTCTTGAGAAGTAGAAGAAGGATCAGGAGTTCAAAATCATTCTCAGCTACATTACAAGTTCAATGCCAGCCTGGGCTTCAAGATACTCAACCTTAAAAAAATTTTGAAGATGTCTGAGAACAATATATCTAATTCACATAATCAAATATCAATATAAAATTCATACTTCATATCCTCTGAAACACTTCAGTAACTTATGTCTCAGAGTTATAAGATTCTTTTAAAATCAGGCTCTAAGAAGAAAAAGAGTAAGAATGCATAGGCACCAGGAGAAAAACTGCCTGGGGTGAGAAAAACAGTTGTTCTGTGCAGGAAGCTGTCTCAGCTCTAGGGCACTTGAACACTAATGCCTCCCCACAAAGATGGGTTCCAATTCTGCCTACATTTTAGGATCCACTAGACTTACATATCTCCCTCTCTCTTTTTCCTTTTTACACTTTTTAGCTTTTTTTATCTTCTTTTAAGATTTCTTTTATTGCCAGGAGGTGGAAGTATGCGCCTTCAGTGCCAGCCTGTGGTTTCCGTGCTTGCCTAGCATTCCCAAGCTCAGGTTCAATCCTTAGCACCATGTAAACAGAGCATGGTAGTGACAAACCTGATATCTAGTCACTAGGGATCTTGTGGCTACAGAAGACTACAAAAGGCCACTGGGGAGGACTCCCTTCTAGCCTGTGTTCTACAGCCTCCAAACAGAGTCAACTCATTCTTGAAACGGATTCTTGACTATGTTGCCCAACTTGGTCTTGAATATGTAGGTTCAAGTAATCCTTCTCATCTTACCAAGTAGCTAGGACTGCAAGGTCAACTTTCTTGTTGTTGTTTTTGCTTTGTTTGAGACAGAGCCTCTCCATATAACAAAAAAATTGGCTTTGCAGTCCCAGCTACCATTATTTCAAACATATTCAAACTGAGCCTAAATATGCCTACCCCTGAAGGCTTCCTGTACTTCTCAACAGGAAGAGAGAAAGCACAAGTAGAACTTACCATATTTGTTAAAGCAGAGAAAAAACCACTCTGGTGTTCTTCTTCCTTGTCTTTATACTGCCTAAAAAGACAGCCAAATTAAACTTCAGGAATTTTTTTTTACCAAGTATATATTCAACCCTGACATTCTAGGTAATCAGGGCAGAGTACTCTCAGAACGTCTGACTCCAGAACTAAAGCATGATGACGCTCTAGCCACGGCAGTCCCCCGCATGCTGAGAGCACCCATCTGCTCTGGAGGGAGTGTGTACCAAAATGCCTGGCTACTTTGGGAGAGACTTAGAAAGCAAGCTGCAAAGTGTGAAATTCCTCTAGCATATGGCTGATCTAGTTATTTCCCAAACAGATGATTACTTGAAAAGTGTGGCAGTGAAAATTCTTTCAGGCTGTGACAGTGAAAACCTTGTTTGTTTGAAGGAGGAAAAAAGTTGAAGAGCTAAAACATTTGTGGAGAAGGGACATACCGGCAGGCCCTTAGTGGGATTACAGATTCCTGGTTTCCATTCATGGAATGCCAAATCCTTCCCCATCCACGGGATGAAGAAAAGCAAGAACCAATTGAAGAGACTAAACAAGGACTCTAGGAAGTTGAACCACTAATGAAAAAGAAACAGTTGGTTCATGAGTGTAGCTCAGTAACAGAGGTTGTTCTTAGCTTGCATAAGGCTCTGGGTTCAATCCCCAGGGGAAGAAAGAAAGATTTGCAAATCTGTTAAATGAGACCTAACTCAATATGCTTTCTCTTTTCTATTCTTTTAAAGAATTTTAGCCAGGCTTGGTGGTGCACGCCTTTAATCTCAACACTCAGAAGAAAAGACAGGTGGATCTCAAGGTTTGAGGTTACCCTAGTCTGGTCTTCGGAGCAAGTTTCAGGATAGCCAGGGCTAAACAAAGAAACCCTATCTCAAAAACAAACAAACAACAATAACAAAACGAGTTTTAAAGTGATTTTCACGAGCTTTCTTACATGGAAAATGGTATTTATGAGGCTCACTGGACAAAAAGGAAAGCCTGCTCTATAGCTAAGGAGCTAATGATATGCTCTGTAACAAAACACCAAAGGCTGAAAGAGAATGTGCCTAATTGTTTGAACTAAAGGTGGGCATTAACTTGAGGGTTGCTTTTCCCAGACGATAGGAAACAAAGCCCCACGGATACCAGCAGGCTGAGCAGATGCATCTGCATGCAGCCAGACCTCTAACTATGCTTTGGGATAGGCTAGGAATTTTTACCTAGGAATTATAACAAACTTCTTCCCTACTCGCCCAGTTCAAGAGAAACAGCCTTTTCCCCTATGGAGAAGTAGACTCACCTATTGTACTCAGACAAAGCCTGAGTGATCACAAGCCCCATTCCCTGGAAGAGAAAACACAACACAGTTGAAACAAGCAAGGAGCCTTTAGGTGCCGGTGGCATTGCTACAGCTCAGCACAACCAGGGAGACCATAACCCTAAAGTCTATACCCAGGAAGCTCCGCCAGAAAGCTGCTGTCAGAACAGAAATTTGGCTGGGGTGCGGGGAAGGATGGCGCACGCCTTTAATCCCAGTACTTGGGAGGCAGAGGCAGTCGGATCTCTATGAATCCAAGGCCAGCCTGGTCTACAAAGCGAGTTATAAAACAGCTAGGACTATTACACAGAGAAACCCTATCTCAAAAAACAAAACAACAACAACAAAATTAGAAGATAAGGAGATAAAGCCAAATATTGGTCATCTTTTTCTCCCTACAGCCAGAAAGCAGAAGTCACTTTGCACAATTTTCAGGACACATACAGCAGACACACATCACCCTTAATGTCTCAGCTTCCTAGAGTCAGGCTATGCACACAGAAATGTCAGGGCTGGAGAGACGGCGTGGTGCTAAGAAGCACCTACTGCACGGGTTTAGTTCCCAGCACCCACATGGAGGCTCAAACCATTCTAACTCCAGGTCCAGGAAATCTGATGCCACCTTCTGGTCTTTTCAGACACCAGGCAACACATATGGTGCCACAGGAGGACATACACTGGTAATCCCAGCACTGAAGAGGCTGGAACAGGAGGCAGGAGGACTAGGAATTTAAGGCCAGCTTGGACTACACAGTGAGACTCAAAAAACAAAAACCAAACTCATGATAAAGCACTCCGCTTTCTGGAATCTTTTTTTTTTGGGGGGGGGGGGTGTTTGCTTGTTTGTTTCTCTGGAGAGAAGGTTTCTCTGTGTAGCCCTGGCTGTCCTGGAATTCTGTAAACCAGACTGGCCTCAGACTCACAGATCCACCTGCCTCTGACTTCCCAGTGCTGGGATTAAAGGTGTGCACCACCACCAATAAGCTTGGGATTCATTTTTTATCTGTTTATTGTGCACTGGAAATTGAACCCAAAATTTGTAAGTTTTATCCCCAGCCCTTTTTCCTCTCTTTTGAGACAGGGTTTTTCTGTGTAATGTTTCTGGCTGTCCTGGAACTCGCTCTGTAGATCAGGCTGGCCTTAGACTCACAGAGATCCTCCTGCCTCTGACTCCCCAGTGCCGGGATTAAAGGCGTGCACCACCACCACCCAGCAGCTTCTCTCTTCTTAGTGTCCACTGAAAATAAGGCCACCGCAAGTGAGATAACACCGAAAGTTCAAGAACCCAGAGAGACTCACATTCAGGGTAGCTTCATCATCCACAATGGACAGCTTCACGATGTAAGGGTTCACTGACTGCAGGAAGAGAGAAGAGTGAAGGTGAGTGCCACCAAGCTGAGAAAGGCTATTTATTAGCTGATTAAGAAAGGGATAACAAAATGCTTCTGCAAGCCCTATTTCCACAGCGATGCCCCCAACATCCAAACCCAAGGCATCTTGCCTGCTGACAGCCCCTATTTCCAGTGACTCTCTCATCTCACATGAGTATCTGTCAAGTACACGTGTGCACATATGCACATACACACAAATGTCAGTTCTATTCTGCCTACATCTTCCTCTACGCTGCATTAGCTCATGCTTATGTTAATTTACCTCTCCTGCTTTTCCTTCTTCTAAAAAGTGAATACTCTGAAAAACTCAATTTGTCCTGTCCTATGAGTCCATAGGGATAGCTGTCTTTTGAGAGAAATAAAACCTTCTTTCCCTTAAGACACATACTTGTAAGTTGCTAACTTACATGCTCATCCCAAAGGCTCTCTAACCATTTCAAAACTACATGCAAGGACTGATTCAGCCACCCGGAAAACAAAGCCACCTCAGGGGTGGGAAGTGGCAGCTGCTTAACAGTCAGAGAGGCCATTTGTGGAGATCTGATACCCAAATAACACTGCAGGGGGTACTGCAGAAAAGGATGTTATTACCCAAGCAACAATCTGCTCAGGACGCTGGGATTTAATGACTGTCCCATCACTTACTGCACTGGAAGATGACTTGAGCTTTTCCAGACCCGGTCTCAGCTGGGCACATATTTAAACGACTACTTCTTAAAAGTGGGATGAGAGTCAATGACCTGCTCACCTTAAAAACATCCCATCCACAGGATAAGAGGAAAGTTCTCCTGAGGATCCAGCACTAATTCCAACCCAAGGAGGGCTTGTAACAAAAGTATTCAGGCTGGCAGTGTTTCCAGCTACCAAGAAAACTCAAGAAACCTGAAACCAAAACTGAAAAGCTAATACCTCACACAGACCTCATTCAGGTTTCAAAGCACATCTTTCAAGTCAACTGGGGACAGAAAATGAAAGTTTTGTTCTCTTAACAATCCAAATGTTTATTATGTTTTTACATTATTATTATGCTACAGACTGTCAGGCAAGATCTGATTCAGGTGGATCCTTGAAAAAGAAAATCAGCAGTTGGCTGACCTAGGGAAGTTACCATATTGACAGCAACATTAAAAAAAAGCAAAGCGTGCTTGTTTTGGTTTTGAGACAGGGCCTCACTATGTAGCCTTGGCCTCCCCACATCTTACTACATAGACCAGGCTGACATCTAACTTACAGAGATCTGCTTGCCTCTACCTCTGTCTATCCCTCTGCCTCCTGAGAGTAAAAATTAAAGGCATGCACCACTACCTGACCAAAGCACATTTTTTTGACATTATTTTTCCAAGTATTAATCACTCACCTTCCCAAAACAATACTGTAAGGTGACAATCAGGATCCTCAAGATACCAAGACCAACAAAATCAGGAAGATTTATGCTTTGATTCCCCTTATTAATTATGACACAATACACAAATTATGACATCAAACACACTGGAAATGCTCTGTTATTTTGTGTGACTATGTTACTACCATATATGCACAGAGGTGTGAACATGCATGTGAAGTCCAGATGCCATCTTCTGGTATCATTCCTCAGGAATCATGCACCTTGCCTTCTGGCTGGGTTTCTCACTGGGACCTGGGACTTGAGGCTTGCCAACTAGGCAAAGTTGGCAGACCAGCAAGCCCCAAGATCTTCCTGTCTCCAGCTCCAAACTGGGATTACAAGTGTGTGCCACCATGTCACCTTTTGGCAAGAGTGCTGTGACTGCATTCAGGCCCACCACATTTATGCACAAGTGCTTAACCAGCTAGGCCATCTCCCTAGCCCAGGAAAGTTCTTTAGGAAAAAGGGCAAGGAAAAAAAAAGGAATGAAAGAAAGAATGAGAGAGGGAGGGAGGGAGGAAGGAGGAAGGAAAAGAAGGAAGGAAGCAAAGAAGGAAGAAAGGAAGAAAAAAGGAAGGAAGGAAGGAAAAGCTTGTGATTTGGATTTTTAATTTAGCAAAACAAGAGGCTCAGAGCAAAAGATAGGTTTTAGATCACTACATCTCAAGCAGTGGTAGCGCATGCCTTTAATCCCAGCACTTGGGAGGCAGAGGCTTCTCTGTGAGTTGTAGCCAGCCTGATCTACAAAGCAGATGTCAGGACAGCCAGAACTGTTACAGAAAAATTCTATCTCGAAACACACACACACACACACACACACACACACACACACACACAATTCTAATTGCTCTATACTATATCCTAGCATCCTAGCACCCCAGCATGCTGGTTGTTCCGAAACCAGAAGCAATCTACTTCTCATTCACAAGACAGAATTCAAACTCAGCAAGTACTTTACCACTAAGTATACTTGTAGTTACTTCTTAATTGTTCTTAAATTTTGGGGTCCTAACTTTCTAAGTTTTACCGGTCACTATTCACTGTTTGTCTCTAAACTAGAATGCATCATTAAAATGAGCAAGAATTGTAAATGCTATCCTTTCCTTATTTCTTTTTGGTTTTCTTTCTATCTGATTTAAATTGTTTTTTTGGGGGGTCAGAGTTTCTCTGTGTTAGCCCTGGCTGTCATCCTTGGAATGTGCTCTGTAGACCAAGTTAGAACTCTGCTGTGGGATAATGCTCTTGTACCCTGTAAAGATTTGTCACTTGTATTGGTTTTAATAAAACACTGATTGGCCAGTAGCCAGGCAGGAAGTATAGGTGGGGTGACCAGACTGGAATTCTGGGAAGAGGAAAGGCTCTGTCTACAGTCACCACCCAGACAGAGAGGAAACAAGAAGAAAATGCTGTACTGAGAAAAGGTGCCAAACCATGTGGCTAAATATAGATAAGAATTATGGGTTAATTATGGGTTAAGTTGTAAGAGTTAGTTAATAAGGTCTGGACAGTGGTGGTGCACGCCTTTAATCCCAGCACTAGGGAGGCAGAGGCAGGTGGATCTCTGTGAGTTCGAGGCCAGCCTGGTCTACAAGAGCTAGCTTCAGGAAAGGCTCCAAAGCTACAGAAAAAAACCCTGTCTCAGAACAAAAAAAAAAAAAAAAAAGAGTTAGTTAATAATAATCTTGAGCTAATAGGCCAAACAGTTTATAATTAATATAAACCTCTGTGTGTTTCTTTGAGACTGAACAGCTGCGGTACCAGGTAGAACAGAAACTTCAATCTGCAGAACTGCACCTGCTCTGCCTCCCCCAGTGCTAGGATTAAAGGCATGTACCAGCTCACTCAGCTCTTTTCTTCCTTCCTTCCTTCTTTCTTTCTTCTTTTTTTTTTCAAGACAGGGCCTCACACTGTGTAGCCCTGGCTGTCTGACTGTCCTGGAACTCACTTTGTAGACCAGTGTGGCCTTGAACTCACAGAGATCCACCTGCCTCTGCTTCTTAGTGCTGGAACTAAAGGTGTGTTCCTCCACCACCTAGATCTTTACTTATTTTGTACCTGGGTAACTAGTCTCTGACATCTTTACTCCTTCCTAGAGATATTCACAGCTTGCCTTAGGGTATGGGACTGACTGCTGTAGCAGCTAAAACATCCTCTCAGCACACCTTCTCCTGCTGGCTTGTAGAAAACTTCACTGGTTCTTAGCTTAACTCTGTTCTTTTGAAATTCCTCATGCTCTTGTCAAAGACCTTCCTGCTCCCCTGGAATCAGGCTTCTTTAATGGCATCTAGTGAGCAACTTATATCCAAAGCTGCAAATCCCAGAGAAAGCATGTCCACCAGCTTGTCCTTGACGGGTATATTGGTTCTTCTGAGGTTTCTGACACAACAAAGATGCATACCTCACTCCAGAAATACGATTTTCTCCAGTCTTTGGCTGTGTCCCATTTTTTCAAGCTGACATTTCAGGGCCCTACTGGGCTGAGCCAGGGTTCACTTTGCACTTAGAGAAGCCAGCCAATCCACAGCCTCAGAATGGCTGTGCCCACCAGAAAGCGGTGAAGCACTCACTAGGGACGACGGCGTGTTCCTGTCACACGGAACTCAACTTCTTTAGCTTTCCTCAGCATTTTTCCTCAGCTATTTTTTCTGCTCTTGTACTAAGGCCCCAGAGGCTTTTACACACGACAGAGGTCATAATGGCTACCATGCCAGCATCTCCAGACTGCCAGTAAAAACAGGTATTGGAGATAAATTACATGTTTATTTGTAGATCTACACCCCATTATCAACTCCTCCACATTAAGGTTGTTGCACAGACCCCAGACTCTCCAGAGCCTCTCCACATTACAACAAGCTGTTCATCAGTCTGTCTGAATAAAATCACCCAGTGATGCAGACGTTGTGACACATGCCTGTAGTAACAGTACCTGGGAGGCTGAGGCAGGAAGACTCCTGAAAGCTAGAGGCCAGTTTAGGCTACACAGCAGTATGAGGACAGCCAAGACTGTGACCTAAATAACAAAGTCCTGTCAAAAACAAAGAAAGAAAGAAAGAAAGAAAGAAAGAAAGAAAGAAAGAAAGAAAGAAAGAAAGAAAAAGAAAAAAGGAAGGAAAGAAGAAACACTTTAAAAAAAACCTAAATCATGTCACCAGCTGGCATACTATTCACTGACTTGTCCAGAAGGCTAAGCAGTGACCATATGTTCTCAGATCCTGCCACTTATTAGTGAAGAAAGTTCCCCTAGCACAGCACCTGACTTCAGAGAGTCTTTCTTAGTATCTAGGACCCTTTACCTGCTGCTTCCTACTCCTCCAGAGAAACCCTGAGGATCCCGGTCTCCCTGAGCAATCTCCCTCTGTTCCTATGCATTCTGCCTTCTGAGAGGAGTAAGGCACATGCACCATTCTCTGGGTTCTGCTTTTCATTTCAAAAACGGAAACCAAGAGCCGAGCTGGATATGGTGGCATACATTTATAACCCAACACTTGGGAGAATGAGGCATGGCTCACCACAGATTTGGGGCTACCCTGAGCTATAGAATGAAACTCTGTATTGAGGGGAGGGAGAGAGAAGTGGGTGGTGGGGCACAATGATGTACTGGGAAGGTGAAAGCAGGAAAACTAGTCCAAAGCCAGCCTGGGTTGCATGAGATTACAGTCAGGTGTGACAGTATACACTGATTCAGGCAGCGATGGACCTTGGAGTAGGATTGCCAAAACTTTGAGGTCAGTGGGAAAGGAGGGGTGGCGGTGGGAGTAACCTCCAGTATTGTTAAAGATAGAGTAATATCTTCAACTAAAATGGCTCAGAGGTTAAGAGCACTCACTGCTCTTCCAGAGGTCCTGAGTTCAATTCCCAGCAACCACATGGTGGCTCACAACCATCTGTAATGAGATCTGGTGCCCTCTTCTGGCCTGCAGGCATACATGGAGGCAGAATGTTGTATACATAATAAATAAATAAATCTTTAAAAAAAAATCTTCATTAAAATCAGAGAGCTCAGTTGAGTGGTGGTGGCCCAAGCCTTTAATTCCAGCACTCAGGAGGCTGATATCTGTGAGTTCAAGGCCAGCCTGGTCTACAAAGCAAGTTCCAGGACAGCTGGGACTGTTACACAGAGAAACTCTGTCTCAAAAAAAATAAAACAAAACAAAACAAACATAAAGAGTCAGAGAGCTCTTAGACCAACAGTGATAAAATACATAAAACAAGTCTTACCAGAAATAGTCACACAGGCCTGCACACCACAGAACTGAGTCAGGGACAGGGAGAGAACACTAGAGAGGCACAACTTCCAGACCAGCCTGCTCTACATACTGAATTTTAGGCTAGTCAGGGCTACATAGCAGTATCCTATTTAAAAAAAAAAAAATACATTGGAACTAGAGAAATGGCTTAGTGATTAAAAGTACTTGCTGTTCTTGCAGAAGACCCTGGTTCAGTTCTCAGCACCCATGTCATGTCTGACAACACAATTATAGGTAACTCCAGTTCCAGGGGAATCCGATGCCCTCTTCTGGCCTCTACGGGTAACTGCATGCACATGCTACATATATATACATATATATATATATATATGTATATATATATACATATATGTATATATATGTGTATATATATGTACTCAGTCACACACACATACAAGTAAAATAATCTTCCAGAGCAGATGCAGTAGGGCTGTGATTTCTAATTCTGGTTTATCATTTTGTTTGACTGGGTTTGTCTGTTTGCTTTTTTGTTTGTTTGTTTGTTTTGAGATAGGATGTTACTTTGTACCCCAAGCTGGCCCAGAATTTACCATGTAGCACCGCTGTCCTTGAATCTGTGGCAAGCCTTCTGTCTCAGCCTGCAGGGTGCTGAGATTACAGGCATGAGCAACCTTGCCTAGGTTCAGTTAGGGATCTTTTAAAAAATAAATGATCGGTTCCTCTCCCACAAATTCTGATTCAGTATAATACAACCAGAGTTAATAATCCAAACCTTTTTTTATTTTTAAAAAGTTCCTGCCAGGTGTTGATGGCGCACTGGAAAGACAGAGGCAAGCAGATCTCTATGAGCTCCACACCAGCTTGGTCTCTAGAACAGTTATGGGTAAAAGAAAAACCCTGTCTGGGGAAAAAAGTTTCTAGGGGGTTGAGCATGGTGGCAATTGCTCTAATCCTAGTACTCAAGGGAGACAGGAAGGTCTGTGTGAGTTCCAGGATAGCCAAGGATATGCAGTAAGACTGTCTCAAAAACAAAAAAATGAACAAAACAAAACTCCTAGGTAAAAGCCAGGTATAGTAGCAAAAATCCAGTTCACCAAGAGCATGTCTTCTATGTTCAGTGGTCTTATAAAATGGCTGCTGTGTCCAGCAAGATAATTACGGAAATAACAACTGTACACTGGGGACCCACCTACCTCATATTTTCTGTAGTTTACCAGCAAAGCCAAGAGGACAACAGCATCATACCCATGCTCTCTACGACTTGGGGGATGGGACAGTATCTGTAACAAGAGGCACAGTACATAACGCCTAAGTGCTAAGTCCTGGTTCCATGGAAGGCAGACTGAAAATCTGAAGAGCTATCTATAAGAGAAAGGCATCAGAAAGCTGACCTACCTGTAGAATTGCTTCAAATATACTGTTGATCATTACATATTCCAGGATAGTGTTCTGACTGATGTTGTCTGTAACCTGAATGCAACAGAAACACTTCTGAAGGTCTGTACCAAGGCACCTGACATCTCATGTATATCTACTACCCTAGCATCTAAGTGACAGAAATGTCAAAGCAAAGAGCAAACAAAAATATCCCAAGATTCAGAATCCCCAGAACCATTTTCAAGTGAGATCCAATGAAAATGAAAAGTCAGACAATGCAAAAGATGGTAGTTCTCTTGGAATATCCCTGCCAAAATGACAGGGATCAACCGGGGAGATGGCTCAGCAGGTTAAGGCCCTTGCCACCAAGCCTGATAACCTGAGCTCCACCCTGAACCCATATGGTGGAAGGAGAGACCCAACTCCGGAAATCTGTCTTCTGACTAACATGACTTTTTCTATGGGGAAGGGACTCATATAAACTAAAAATTAGTTTTAAAATGTTTAAGTAAAATAAAAAATAAAGTGATAAGATAATATCATATAGCCTGCAGGTTAAACATGTCAGCAGCTGCTCAAAGGTTAATTCCCAAAAGCATAATTCCATACAACTAACTTCCCTCTATATGTTCAGACAAAAGGGAATGATATAATATCCCAGTAAAGAATTTCCCTTTTTCCTTTGGGAGGAAGTACTCAACTAGGTTTGACTCTGCTGTAATTAATACCCTTGACAAACATATAGGGGATCACTTACAGTCACTAAGCAAAGAAGAAGTTTCAGGCATAAACTCTTCAGACTTTCTGAACCTTCTGCACAAAGTAATGAATCCAAACTCTCCATCAAGTTCTGGGAAAGAGAACCATAAACGTTAAAGCATGCAAGTAACACTTAGACCCTGTGCTGTTATGTTCTGCAGGATAAAGTGAATAACTGTGAATCAATTGTATCATTTCCCTAGTCCAGGTCATGCAAGATCAAAGAAAAAGACTTCAAAGTCTAGCTACATGGGCACAATGCTTTAGAACAACCACAGAGAACAATGGGGTATTTACTCCTGGACTACATGAATGTTGGAAGCTTTACACACAGATAAACCTTAAGATCAAAAGAATGACGTAATTTAAAAAGGGAAACCTAATGGTTTAATAACTACATATGAATTTCAGTATTTGTCAAAGAAAGTGCATCATGTAGGCACACTGGACCAGTGAGAGACACAACATCAAATTCACTACTGGGAATCAATGGCCATCTGAGCAATTCAACAAAGCTAGCTGGGTTCATCAGGGTCAACTTCAGTTGAAAATGTAATTGGAATTTGATGCTTGCACTAAAAAAAATAGCTTTTAGACATAAACTAAGTAAAGGTAAAACCTTCCAACTATGACAGAGGGAAGAAGGAAAAGAATATTCTACATTAAGTGAAGGAAAAAAAATTCAAGGCTCGGGGGCTGGAGAGATGGTTCAGAGGTTAAGAGCACTGCCTGCTCTTCCAGAGGTCCTGAGTTCAATTTCCAGCAACTACAAGTTGGCTCACAGCCATCTACAGTGAGATATGGTGCCCTCTTCTGACCTGCAGACATACATGGAGGCGGAATGTTGTATACATAATAAATAAATCTTAAAAAAAAAAAGTTCAAAGCTAGAGAAATGGCTCAGTGGTTAAGAGTACTTGTTCTTACAGAAAACAAGGATTTTTTTAGTTCCCAGCACCCATATTGTAGTTCAAAGCCAGCTATAACTCCAGTTCCAGGGACGCAAGCCCTCTTCTCAACTCTGAGGGCACCAGGAAGGTACATGGTACGAGTACTTGCATGAAGGGGAAAAAAAACAAACAAAAAGCCTCACACATGCCAGGCGGTGGTGGCACATGCCTTTATGCCTTTAACCCCAGCACTCGGGAGGCAGAAGCAGGAGGATCTCTGTGAGTTCAAGGCCAGCCTGGTCTATAAGAGCTAATTCCAGAACAAGTTCCAAAGCTACACAAAGAAACCCCATCTTAAAAAACAAAACAAAACAAAACAAAAAAACTCACATACATAAAACAGATAAATAAATCTCTAAAAAAAAAAAAAACCAATAGACTTAAGGATTCAGCATGATGGAATTTCAAAATTAAGATTCAAAATAAAATGTTTCGGTTGGATGTGGTGATGTATGCCTTTAATTCCAGCACTGGGAGGTAGGGGAAGGAGGATCTCTGTGAGTTTGAGGCCAGCCTAAAATACATATCAAGTCAGTGAGTTCTAGAACAACCAGGACTACAAAATAGAAAGACCCTGTCTCAAAAATAAAACAAGAAGTTTCAGTTAAATTAAACCTGTGAGCATCTACCTTATACTTTCAAAGTAAGACCTTGAACCTTCACGATTTTAGTTTAAAGAGAAAGGCAAAAGAAAGTAATTTCAAGTCTTCTGGCCTCCAACATATGCCATGTAAACACACACAAAAATAAAAAGTTATAAATTTTTGATAATAAATTAATAACAAGACTCCTAACATCTACTCCTGACCTCAACACACACACACACACACACACACACACACACACACACACACAAAAAAAAAAAAAACACAATACAAAAATATAGCTGAGCACAGTGGTACAAGCCTATAATCCCAGCACTAGGAAAGTAAAGACAAGAAGACCCTGGGGTCTGTGAACCATCTAGTCTAGAGCTCCAAGGCTCAGTGAAAAACCTTGTCTCAGAGAAATAAAGGTGGAACTTGATAGAAGACATGCAGTGTTGGAGAGGCCTGAGATCTTGGCTTACTTTACAGGGGAAGATCTCGAAGAAGTGCCCTTCTTTCTCCACCAAAATTCAAAGAAGACATTTCACCCCTGAGGAAGTACCAGAAAGTATGTTTCTTTGATCTCCTGTCTACTAGAAAACTACACTGCTAGCTGTTACAAAACAAAACCTTTGATCCAAATGAGCCAAGCCTAACCATAGGAACACAAGTCAACAATGTAACTTTATCTGTTAAAAGTTTTCATGTGTTCAGGAGGCCAGGGGTCCAGGATTCTGTCTGAAAGAAAGTGATCTATTACAGAGAAAGAAGCACAGAACATAAAAGGAGATTGAATGAGTGCTGAAGAGTCAAGGATAGAGGGGATAGAGAAATGGCAGGGCAGCAAAGATGAAATAGATGGACAGGGATAAAGCAACAGAGCCGGTCAAAGAATGATCGAGCTCCCTACAGACAGTGCCACCTCTGGGCTATTGGTCTTGGATGCTGTAAGAAAGCAGGCTGAGAAAGCCACGAGGAGCAAGCCAAAAAGCAGTACTCCTTCAACGCCTCTGCTTCACTCCCTGCTTCCAGGCTCCTGCCCTGACTTCCCTGAATAATGGACTGTGAGCTGTAAGATGAAATAAACCCTCCCCCTCCAAAAGGCTTTTGGTCATGAAGACAGTCTCCAGAGAGAAATACCACAGTGCACACTATGGTTCTCTGCCTTGCCAGTACTGTGTTATAGTCAAAGGAACATTAGGTCCTGTTAGAACTTGACGGATATTTTCCTTCATTCAGACCTTCTTCTAGATATTTTTCAGAAAGCCAACCCCTGGTATTGTCCCAGTTCCAGCATATTTAGGGATCCTGATGGCTGCTCACTAAGGTAAGCATCTTGCTTCAGTTATATGTCTGGTCTGCACAGAAATCTACATCTAGTAAGTCTCATCAAAGCACAGGTTTTCTTACTCTCTTATTTCTAAAGACAGAATACCACCATTTTTTAATGGAGTGGAAGAAATAAGATACATTTTAATATTAGTACACAAGAGATGATTTGACATTTATTAGAACTGGAGTCACTACACCAAGTTTAAAGGGCCAGAGGAAGTCACAGCTCGCCCATGTAGAGTAGTCTTGCCCAGTAGGAGGGTGTGTGTGAAGCTTGGGAGTATAGCTTGGTGGCACTATCTCATGCATGGGTTCCACTGTTGAGCTCTAGCCTCCACATGTACTCCTCCACAAACACAAACACATGCATATCACAATCACACACACACACACACATACACACACGCACACAATTTTTTGAGGAGGAAGAGGAAAGGGATACCAGGTAGACTTTAGAACGATCAAAGGTCCATAAAAAGGGGCTGTGAGTGTAGTTCAATGGTAGTGTGCTTGCCTAGCTTTCATAAGGCCCTGGGTTCAAACCCGAATGTAAAGCACATATATGTCTATAATTCCAGCATTCAAAAGGATAATCATTTTTTTCTTCTGGGAGGCAATTAAACTGTTTTTTAAATTAAAAGTGATTATGTTTGTTCAATTTAAGAATCAAATACACAATACATGATTACAAGAGTGTTCTAATAAAAAGATAGCGATAGTGCCCTAGTGTCAGAGTCCTATCTAACAGACACCATGCTGGATCCCCAGTAGGGAAGGGGGATGAGGAGCAACAGAAGAAAAAATTGGTTAGAAAAATTAGTTTTGAACAGTAGACATAAAAATTCAAAGGACATGGGGCTGGAGAGATGGCCCAGCAGTTAACAGCACTGGCTGCTCTTGCACAGGACCCAGGTTGGATTCCAGGCACCCACGTGATGGTTCACAATCATCCAACTCCCAATCTAGGGGATCTGATGCTCTCCTATGACTTCAAGGGTATCAAGCATACACACAAGCAGGCAAAACACTCACACATCATATAACATGAATAATCTAATTTTAAAAAAGTTCAAAAGGCAGCAAGTGGATAAAGACACTTGCCTAACAACCTAAATTCAATCCCCAAGACCCACAGGGTGGAAGGAGAGAATCAACTCCTGATAATTGTTCTCTGACCTCCACACAGCCACTATTCCACACACATACCAGCGTGCAAATAAATATATAAGCATAATACTTTAAATTTAATTCAAGTCAAGCATAATGGTATGTGTCAATAGCCCCAGCCTACTCAAAAGGCTGAAGCAGGAAGAATTGCTTGAACCCATAGGTCCAAGACCAGTCTAGGCAAGATAACTAGACTTATCCCAAAAAAAGAAACTGATGTGGGCATGGCAGTATACATCTGTAATCCCAATAGCTGGGAGATGGAAAGCAAGATTTCAAGAATTTGAGTCCTATTCTTAAGAGCAGGAAAGGGCACAAGGTCTGGAACACAGGGGAAGATAGGGGACAAGGATGAACCGCTAACACCAAGAGAAGCTCCAGGGCATCATTGGGCTCAGTCTAAGTGAGAAATGTATGTGAACACGAGCAGTGAGCAAGAGCTCCAGTGCAGAATACAAACTTACATTATACTTGGAGATGTAGAAGAAAGTCAGACTACTACAGAAACTGATGAAGACATATGAAAAAATACATATATCACAAAACAGAATACTCTAATGTTCTTTCCCAGAGAGATTGTGTCATTTCAGTTGCCTGTCCATTGACAGTTGGCTGAAACAAAGAATTTATCCTGTGTAGAAATTAGGAACTTTGTATAGTTAATTGCCTCTTCCCAGGTACAAGACATACAAAGAAAGACATCTGCATACATTTTGTTTTATTGTTGTTGTTTGGTTAGCTTTTTTGATTTGGTTTGGTTTGGTTTGGTTTGGTTTTGGTTTCTTGAGACTGGGTTTCTCTGGGTAGTCCTGGCTGTCCTAGAACTCACTCTGTAGACCAAGCTGGTCTTGAACCCACAAATATCTGCCTGTCTCTGCCTCCCAAGTGTTGGGCTTAAAGAAGTGCACCACCACAGTCCGGGCATTCTGTACACATTTTGGTAAGTAACAAATGACATGAGGAAGCACAGCAAGATGGTTCAGCAGGTAAAGATGCTTACCATATAAGCCCTAAGACCTGATTCTAACTCTGACCTACACACATGCACCATAGCATGTAGGCACTCACACACATTATATATACACGCACAGTCTTCTCCAGTGGTCAGAGGATTGCCCCTCTTAAATGAATGCATCTATAATCACACTGTCTTAAGCTCAAGGCACTGTGCCTTCTCGACCTCCAGTGCCATCACCACAGCTCTTCCTCGGGAGTCAGTTTTCTCACTATGCAGTTGTCCTGGTTGTTTTTCTTTAAATTAAACTTAATGTTTTGTTTTTTTTAACTTGAGAGAGATAGACAAACAGGCTGGAAAGATAGCTCAGTGCTCAGAAACATTTATTGCTCTTATAGATGAGCCACGATCAGTTTCCAGCACCCACATCAGGCTGGCAACCATTTGAAACTCCAGTTCCAAAGGATCAGATACCCTCTTCATACCTCTCAGTCATCACGCACACAAGAAGTACACAGACATATATGCAGGGAAAACATCTACACACATAAAATAAATAAACCTAAAAAACTATGACAAATATTTTTTTAAAAGTCCTATCCTCTGTGATTTAAGTCTGAAGTCAGCCTCAGCTACATAAGAGTCTGTCAAAGAGCCAAAAGCACACAAGGATTGTGGGCAGCAGAGGACTTGCCTTCCATGCAAAACAGCATGGCTTCGTTCCTAGAACCACAGAATAGCTGATCTTGTAGCTTTTCATATTTTATCTAAGTTCATAAATGTCATAAAAAGCGGGGTGGTAGTAGTTCATGTTTTTAAACCCAGCAGCACTCAGGAGGCAAAGACAGATGAATCTCTGTGAGTTCTAGGCCAGCCTGATCTATAAAGCCAGTTCCAGGATACCCAGGGCTAACTGTTACACAGAGAAATCCAGTCTCAAAAAGCCAAAATCAAAACCAAAACCAAAGCAAAACAAAAACCCAAAAAAGAAAAATCTGACTCCAAATCTTCTAGTATGTCTGTCTACAGGAAGCATCACCAACGACAGTCAAGAACAGATAAGCTATTCAGGGGCTGGAGAGATGGCTCTTCCAGAGGTCCTGGTTTCAAGTCCCAGAAACCACATGGCAACTCACAACTGTAACTCCAGTTCCAGGGGATTCGACACCCTCATATAGATACACATGAAGGCAAAACATCAATGCACATAAAATAAAAGTAAATCATAAAAAAAATCTTTAAAAAAAAAAAAAGAACTATTCAGAGCCACATACACATTTCTGCCTCACCTTCATGCACAGTTCCGCTTTGTCAAAGCCCATCAGCATGTTGATAATGTCAAATCCAGATGTAGATTTATTCTTCTGGTGAACTCCTCGAATTAATGCACACAAGGTCTGCAGAGATGGAAAAAATAATTCTTCTAGAGAGAAAGTCTCTACACTATGAGTACACTAAATCTGCAACTTTCTCCTGCAACTTCAGAACTAAGTCTTGACGAGGCTGGCTGACCTTCAATTTCTGCTGCCCTGAGTTTGAAAACAGCTTCAATGCTAACATGAAAAATCCAGAAACTGGGCTGGAGATATGGCTCAGCGGTTAAGAGCTCTTCCAGAGGTCCCGAGTTCAATTCCCAGCACCCATATGGCAGCTCACAACTGCCTATAACTCCAGTTCTAGGACATCTGACCCTCACACAATGAACATAAAAAAATAAATTGTTAAAAAAATCCAAAAAACTACAGAGAAATCCTGTCAAGTACTTGCTGCCAGGTCTGACAAAGGAACCGACCCCTTCAAGGTGTTCTCTGACTCCACAGGATCCTGAGACATGAGCATGCACGTGTGCGCGCGCACACACACACACACACACACACACACACACACACACACACTGCTGTGCTCGCTGGCCTACAGCCTGGCCAGACATGGTGAGCTCCAGGTTCAGTGACCCTGTCTCCAGGGAATAAGAAAGACAGTAATAAAGGAAAGGAAGACATGCCACTTCCTCCTCTGGAGAAAAAGAAAAGTAAAAAGTTTGCATGCCCTGCAAGCATGTGGACCCAAGTTTGATCCCTGGAACTGCTGGGGAATATTGTTTTAAAGTGTGTGACTTTTATTAATGCTGCATTTGTTTAACTCTGTGAAGCTGTGATTCTCTGCCTGTCTTGTAGCACGATTAATAAAAATTCAGAGACAGAAACTGGGGTTCAACCTGAAGGTCAGAAAAGCAAAACAGCCAGTCACTGGCTCCTACCTCTACCTCGGTCCAAAATGGCGATCTTGCCTCCAGGAATCTCAGAATGAGACTGTGTGGGAGAGCTGTTTCCTCCCATCTTATATTCCTCTCTAGTTCCGGGATTAAAGGCAGGCACCACTACCACCTGATTTCTATGGCAAACTAGTGTGGCTACTGGGATTAAAGGTATGTGTCACCACTGCCTGGTCTGGAAGGCGGTTCAGTGCAGCTGTTTTACTCTCTGAATTTAAGGCAAGCTTTATTTAATACAAATGAAATATCACTAAACTGTCTAAAACACCTGATGGTCCTAATGAAGAGCTGAATGGCCAATAGTGAGACAGGAGCAAAGATAGGAGGGACTGGCAGGTAGAGAGGACAAATAGGAGAACGAGGAAGAGGAGGAACAACGAGAGAACAAGAAAAGGAGGATGCTAGTGGCTAGTCACCTGGCCAGTCAGAGTAAGAATGAAAGTAAGATACACAGAAGTAAAAAAGGAAAAAGCCCAGAGGCAAAACGTACATGGGAAAATTTAAAGTTAAGAAAAGCTGGCAACAAATAAGCCAAGCTAAGGCCAGGCATTCCTAACTAAGAATAAACCTCCCAGTGTGATTTATTTGAAAGTTGGGTGGTGGGCTCCCCAAAAAGCCAAGAGTAAAACACCAACAACATGGAGTCACATCGAGGTGGAAGCAAACAAGCAACTTCTCACATCTATTCTTTAGTCTCTATGAGCACTATGTCATGTATGCTCCCCCTCCCACAAGCACTGTACACAGGAAATACATTTTTTTGTTTGTTTTATTTTACTTTTGTTTGTTTTGAGACAGGATCTCACCATATAGCTCTGACAGACCTGGAACTCACTATAAAGATCATGCAGACCTCCAACTCACAGAAATCCACCTGCCTCTATCTCAAAAGTGCTGGGATTGAAAGTGTACACCACCATACCTAGCCCCATAATAAGACCTTTAGAGATTTATTTGTTTCAGTTTATGTGTATGGCTGTTTTGCCTGCATGTATAACTATGAAACGACCATGTAAGGAAACCAGAAAAGGGCACTGGCTCCTTTGTAACTGGAGTGACAGACAGCTGTCAACTGCCAAGTGAATGCCAAGAAATAAACCTAGGTTCTCTGCAAAAAAGTGTTATTAACTGTTAAGCCATCTCTAGAGTCCCCCAGTAAGTACTTCTTTAAAATTAAAAATAAATAAATAAATAAAAATAACAGCTGGGTGGTGGTGGTGGTGCATGCCTTTAATCCCAGAATTCCAGAGGCAGAGTCAGGTGAATCTTTGTGAGTTTGAGGCCAGTTTGGTCTACAGAAAGAGTTCTAGAACAGTCAAGATTACACAAGAAACCCTGTTTCAAAAAAAAAGGGGCTGGAGAGATGGCTAAGTGGTTAAGAGCATTGCCTGCTCTTCCAAAGTCCTGAGTTCAATTCCCAGCAACCACATGGTGGCTCACAACCATCTGTAATGAGGTCTGGTGCCCTTTTCTGGCCTGCAAGCATAATGCAGACAGAATATTGTATACATAATGAATAAATAAATATTTAAAAAAACAAAGAATAATAATAACAACAAGGTACAAAGTAATTGGGAAAGACACCCAGTTTCCATCTCTGGCCTCCACACACACAAGCACATACATACATACCTCAAACATACACACATAAAACCAAACTAAGTCAGTCAGTGGTGCACATGCCTTTAATCCTAGCACTTGGGAGGCAGAGGCAGGAGAATCTCTGTGAGTTTGAGGCCGGGCTGGTCTACAGAGTGAGTTTCAGGACAGGCTCCTAAGCTACAGAGAAACTCTGTCTCAAAAAATCAAACTAAAAGAAAACAGAAAAACATTTAAATTAGACTGCAAAGATAGCTTAGTGATTAAGAGTACCTGCTGTTCTTCCAGAGGACCCAAGTTTGATTCCCAGTACCCATGCTGGGTGACTCACAACCATTGGTGATTCTAGTACCAGAGGATTCCATACCCTCTTTTGGTTTCCACAGATACCTATACCCACACAACACAAAGACCCATGATTTAAAGTAATAGTAATAAATGTTTTAATTATTTTTAATTCATTTTTGTTGTGTGATATTTTGATTCGGTTCTGATTAAAAATTTTGTTTGGAGTTAGAGGGGGGATAACCAAAATTAACCACAGAGGTTTGGAAGACTATAGACAGAGAGGAGACAGGAAGTACTAAAGCAGGGTGGAGAGAGGCTCTCAGCTCTTTAAGGATGGAGAAACAGAATAGGTAGGAGCGACTAGTGGCTGCTTCCTGTTTCTCTGACCTTTCAGGTTCTTGCCCCGATATCTAACTCCCAATTTTTTATTGATAAAGATTAATTAGATTAATGCTTCTCATTTTATGTGTATGGATGTTTTACGTGCATGTATGTCTATGCACCACATGCATGCCACCTGTCCACAAAGGCCAGAAGAAGGTATTGACTGGATCCCCTAGGACTGTGAACAGACATATGAGTGCTGGGAATTTAATCCGGGTCCTCTGAAAGAGCAGCCAGAGTTTGTTTTTATATATATAAAATAAATCATATATTTATGATATATATATCATATATATATATGATATATATATCATATATATATATGATTTATTTTTATTTTATGTGCATTGGTGTTTTGCCTGCATGTGTATCTATGTGAGGGCATCAGATCCCCTGGAACGGGAGTTACAGACAGTTGTGAGATGCTATGTGAATGCTGGGAATTGAACCCTGGTCCTCTGGGAGAGCAGCCAGTGCTCTTAACCACTAAGCCATCTCTCTAGCCCATAATAAATGTTTTTTTAAAATTAAGTAAAACAGAAAAATAGCTAAGCATGACAGATGTTTTATTTAAAAAATTAAAAATATAAAGGAACAAAAAACAAAACAAACCATCCCTGAAAGCTAAAGGCAATTCTAGGTTCCTCAGCATCTAAGAGATGAGCTTCAGTTCCACTCTCCCGTTAAACAGAACTTCCCAGTCTCCCAGCCTCTACCTGCAATGCATTGACAACTCGGATTGGATGCTCCTCTCCTAGAGCCTGGATACAGTGTTGAAATAAACAGTTAACATTGTCCTTGATCTTCATTAGCTCTTCACCATCCAGAGACTCCAGCTTGCCTTCTAGATACTCTAAATTCACCTGCCAAAAGAACAGTAATGGCCTGAGCAGACTTTTAGTGCAGCACAGAGAATATGTAAGACAATGTTACTTACCCAAGAATGCCACCATGCCACCCAATCTTACCTTCATGAGGAAGAGCTCCTCCCAAAACCGAGGACTACACTTACTGGGGTCCTCTGTCTGAAATCAAAAACAAGCATGTTCAACTTCATTGCCAACTCAAAAAGCATCAAAAATATTGTCAACTTTACCTATCAATATTTTAAAATATTTTTTAAAGATTTATTTATTATATATACAGTATTCTGTCTGCATGTATGCCTGCAGGCCAGAAGAGGGCACCAGATCTCATTACAGATGGTTCTGTGCCACCATATGGTTGCTGGGAATTGAACTCAAGACCTTTAGAAGAGCAGACAGTGCTCCTAACCTCTGAGCCACCTCTCCAGGCCTACCTGTCATATTTAACTTTGAAACTGTTTCCTTTTTTTTTCCCCCCCTAGGGAGTTTTCAAGACAGGGTTTCTCTGTAGTTTTGGAACCTGTCTTGGAACTAGCTCTGCAGACCAGGCTGCTCTCCAACTCACGGAGAGCCACCTGTCCGTACAGCCTGAGTACTGTGATTAAAGGCGTGTGCTACCACCTTGCTTTAAAGACTTCCTTTAATGAGGATATTATCAGCACCAACAAAGATTTTTTTGTCAGAATTAGAACTGATGTGTTTAGTGATACATCTGGAAAAGTGCCAAAGATATACTAGAAAATCAGTATATTCTCTTTGTAAGTAATATTTTTCAAAAAGCTAAAATCAATCTCCAATCCAAATCATAATAACTCTGTACTCACCCCATAGAACTAGAGAATGAGTTGTCTAATTACTTATTCTATCAACCAGAAACCTGAGATAAAATGCAACAACGCATCTTCTAAAAAACTTATCTGAAATTGAAATTGTAGAATTCAAGGAGCAAAAAGAATTTCATAAGACATCTATCATAAAAACTACTCTTTAAATTAGCAATAAATAAATAAATAAATGGAAATAATATCATAAAAAATGAGTCATGGGAGACCAGAGTTCAATTCCCAACAATCACAGGGTGGCTCACAATCATTAATAATAAAATCTGCTGCCCTTTTCTGGTGTGCAGGCACACATGCTGGCAGAACAATGCATATACAATAAATAAATAAATCTTTTTTTTTAAAAAAAAAAAAAAAGAGTCATGAGACTAAAGAAAGGCTCAGCAACTAAAAGCATTTGCTGCTCTTCCAGATGACCAGGGTTTTATCCAAGCACCAACATCAAGTGGCTCACAACTGCTGTGGAACAATCCTTTTGTACACTGTAAAGATTTGTCACTCGAATTGGTTTAAAAAACGCTGACTGGCTGGTAGCCAGGTAGGAAGAATTGGTGGGGCAACCAAACTAAGGATGATGGGAAAGAGAAGGATAGAATCAGGAGTCTCCAGCCAGACACAGAGGGAGCAGGAGATAAATGTGCCATGCTAATAAAGAAACTGCCATGTGGCAGAATGTAAATAAGTAATATGGGTTAATTTAAAATTCATGAGCTACCTAGTAATAAGCCTGAGATATTTGCTAAGCATTTATAAATAACATTAAGCCTCTGTGTCAGTTTGGGAAGCAGCCTCTGGGTATTTGAGAGCAGGCAGTTGGGACAAAAAAAAAAATCATCCATTTACAAGCTGGGCGGTGGTGGCGCACTCTCAGCACCCAAGAGGCAGAGGCAGGTGGATCTCTGTGAGTTCGAGGACAGCCTGGTCTACAGAGCAAGTTCCAGGACAGGATCCAATGCTACAGAGAAACCCTGTCTCAAAAAAATCAAAAAAGAACATTCATTTACACACAACCACATGTAATTCCAGCTCCAAGGTATCTGATTCCCTCTTCTGATCTTTGTGAACACACACACACACACACCTTTTTAAAAAAGAAAAATGTTGGCCAGTAAGATAATTCAACCAGTAAATGTGAATATCTCAAAAACATGGTGACCTGTGTTCTGTCCCAGGACTCACATAAATATAAAAAGACAGAGCCAACTTCACAAAGTTATCCTCTGACCTGCATACTCCATGAAAAATATGAATAAATTAGATAGACAGACAGACAGATTCTTAAAGCTATTTGGGAGCTGGAAAGGTGTTCAGAGGTTAGCAGCAACTGCTACTCTTGCAGAGGACACAGGTTTGTTCCCAGCATCTATACGGCATCTCACAACCAACCACAACGCCAGTTACAAGGGATCCGATTCCCTCTTCTGACATTTATGAGCACCAAGCACAAAAGCTAAACATACACATACATGTAAGCAAAACTCTCATATACATAAAGTAAATTTTTAAAAATATAAAATATATTCTTGGGGGCTGGAGAGATGGCTCAGCGGTTAAGAGCATTGTCTGCTCTTCCAAAGGTCCTGAGTTCAATTCCCAGCAACCACATGGTGGCTCACAACCATCTGTAATGAGGTCTGGTGCCCTCTTCTGGCCTGCAGACATACACACCGACAGAATATTGTATACATAATAAATAAATAAATATAATAAAAATAAATAAATAAATAAAATATATTCTTGTGAAATATTACTTTAGGTAAAGATATGTTACATTTGTTTATGCTGTATTTGATTAATGATGTGCTGTGGGACAATGGTCTTGTACCCTGTAAAGATTTGTCACTTGTATTAGCTTAATAAAATGCTGATTGGCCAGTAGCCAGGCAAGAAGTATAAGTGGAGTGACCAAAACAGGAGAATTCTGGGAAGAGAAAAGAGTCAGTCTGCAGTCATGACCCAGACGCAGAGGAAGAAAGATGAGAATGCCTCACTGATAAAAGTACCAAGCCACATGGCTAATACAAACAAGTATTATGAGCTAATTTAATATGTAAGAATTAGGGTGGGTGGTGGTGGCACACACGTTTAATCCCAGCACTCATGAGGGAGAGGCGGGTGGATCTCTGTGAGTTCGAGGCCAGCCTGGTCTATAACAGCTAGTTCCAGGACAGGCTCCAAAGCTATAGAGAAGCCCTGTCTCAAATCCCCCCAAATAAATAAAATAAAATAAAATAAAATTAAATTAAATTAAATTAAAAATTAGATGAATATTACTTTAAAAAAAAAAAAAGCTGGGCAATGGTGGCATACACCATGGTAGAGGCAGATGGATTTCTGTGAGTTTGAGGTCAGCCTGGTCTACAAGAGCTAGTTCCAGGACAGGCACCAAAACTACAGAGAAACCCTGTCTTGAAAAAAAAAATGATGTAAGAATTAGTTAATAAGAAGCCTGAGCTACTAGGCCAACCAGTTTATGATTAATGTTTCTTTGGGACTGAATGGCTGTGGGACTGTGAGGGACAGAAACCTCTGTCAACAACAATGTAAAGATGGGTTGCCTAAAGCACCTGACTGGTCTAATAAAAAGCTGAATGGCCAATAGGTAGTGTGTAGAGGGATAGGCAGGACTGGCAGGCAGAGAGAATAAGTAGGAGGAGGAATCTAGGCTCAAGAAGAAGAGAGAAGAGAACAAGGGAGTAGGAGAGGGAAATACCTGGGCCATTCAGCCAGGCAGCCACCAGCCAGAGACAGAGGAAGCAGTGAAAGTAGGGCATACAAAATTAGAGAAAGGTAAAAAGCCCTGAGGTAAAACACAGATGAAGAGAAACAGGTTAAATTAAGTTATAAAAGCTAGTGGGAGGGCTGGAGAGATGGCTTAGCGTTAAGAACATTGACTCTTCTTTCAGAGGACCTGGGTTCAATTCCCAGTACCTACATGGCTGCTAAAATCTGTCTGTAACTCCAAGCTCTAACGTTCACACACAGACATATGTGTAAGCAAAACACAAATGCATATGAAATAAAAATAAATTATTTTAAAAAAAGAGCTAGTGGAACAAGCATTAGATAGGGAGGAAGGGAGGAAAGGAGGGAGGAAGGGAGGGAAGGAGAGAGATAGGTAAAAAGAAAGTCCCAGTCTTCTTCCTCACTTCAATTGTTTTACCTAGATCCTGGCAACAACCCATAAGTTCTCAGCACGTGGAAGTTGAAAGCAGAAAGATCAGGAGTTCAAGGCCATCCTCAGCTACATAAAATGTTTGAGGCCAGCCAGGCAGTGGTGGCACATGCCTTTAATCCCAGCACTCAGGAGGCAGAGGAAAGCAGATCTCTATGAGTTCGAGGCCAGCCTGGTTTACAAGAGCTAGTTCCAGGACAGGTACCAAAGCTACAAAGAAACCTTGTCTCGGAAAAAAGAAAGAAAAGAAAGAAAAAAATAATAATAATAACCTATAATAATCAATGCATCATCATAAATCTCTATTATAAGAGCTCACTACTAGTGTTTGAGCTCTCCTGCTGGACTTGACCTCACTACACAGCAGAGGATACTCCTGAACTTCTGATCCTTCTACCTACCCCAGCTCCCAAATGCACTACCATGACTACTTTTATATGGTGCTAGGAACAAACTCAGGTGAGCCTCTACTTAACCATCTTTGTTGTTGTTACTCTTTGTTTTTTGAGCAAAGTCTCACTCTGGGGGGCTGGAGAGATGACGGGGGGGGGGGGGGCCGGGAGAGATGGCTCAGTGGTTAAGAGCATTGCCTGCTCTTCCAAAGGTCCTGAGTTCAATTCCCGGCAATCACATGGTGGCTCACAGCCATCTGTAATGAGGTCTGGTGCCCTCTTCTGGCCTTCAGACATACACACAGACAGAATATTGTATACATAATAAATAAATAAATATTTAACACAAAAAATAGTCCCACTCTGTAGCCTACAATGAACTGTAATTTACAATATAGCCCATGTTGGCCTCAAACTGCTAATGATTTTGTCGTAGTGTTTCTTTCAATTTTATTTATTTTAATGTGTATAGATCCTTTATCTGCATGTATAAGTGTGTTCTGGTGCCCATGGAGGCCAGAGGTGTCAAATTGCACAGGACTGGAGCTACAGATGATTGTGAGGTATCATATAGGTCCTAGGAATCAAACCTGGGTCCTCTGGAAGAACAACAGTGTTATTAACCACTGGGACCTCTCTCCAGTCCTTGGCTCAGGTTCTTGAGGGATAGACTTACATACCTGGTAGAGGAGGCAAATAGAAATGATTGGGAGCATTATTTGTTGGTTGTTTTGGCAGGAACAAACATCTCTATGTATAAGGTGTGCATATAAGTAAGCATATCTGCATGTACAGGTAAATACAAGGACTCTGGTGTGTATCTGTGACTGAACCTATGGAAGTCAAAAACAGAGGTGACGTGTCTTTTTCAATCATTACTTACGGAGGCAGGGTCTTTAGCTAAGCCCAGAGATCACTAATTTGGCTAGTCCAGCTGGCCATCTTGCGCAGAAGAGCTCTTGTCTCTGTCTCTAAGCACCTGTAATCCAATGACTACAGGTGGGCTGCTGTACCCATCCAGATTTTTATATATATTTATTTATTATGTAGACATAATTCTGTCTGTGTGTATGTCTGAAGACCAGAAGAGGGCACCAGATTTCATTACAGATGGTTGTGAGCCACCATGTGGTTGCTGGGAACTGAACTCGGGACCTTTGGAAGAGCAGGCAATGCTCTTAACCATTGAGCCATCTCTCCAGTCCCCCCCCATTCAGATTTTTAAATGGGTGCTGGGGATCCAAACTCTGGTCCTTATGAGTGAACAGCAAAGTTGGTTCACAATGAGCCATCTCTATAGCCCCAATAAGATTATTTCTGATAAAGATTATTTGGACTGGGGCTGGAGAGATGGCTTAGTGGTTTAGAGCACTGACTGCTCTTCCAAAGGACCAGGGTTCATTCCCAGTAAAAACATGGCAGCTCACACCTGTCTATAACTCCAAGATCTGATACCCTCACACAGACATATATGCAAAGAAAACACCAATGCACATAAAATAAATAAATTTTTTTGAAAAAGATTATTTGGACTAAAAAACTGAAGAGTCAAGGTTAGGTGTAGTTCGTACCTGATGAGCTGAGTTCAATTCTGAGACCCCAGACAGTAAAGGGACCCGCTGCAGGCTATCATCTGACTCATACACTCACCATGGCTTGTGTTCGCTTGCGCTCTTACTCAAACAAACATGTGTACACAGAGAAATAAATAGGTAAACACAACTTTAAAATTTTCTAAAGAAACAAAGAGTCAATCTAGCTGTGCAGTATAACAGGGCTTACCATAAAAATCTCATCATACATCAGCACCACTTTTTCCTTTAATGGTTTTTTTGAGGCTGAAGATTTCCGGAGCAAGCCTCCTCGTTTCTCTACTTGTGCCATGGCTAGAGAACCTGTGGGGCAGGGTGAGACACCATTTAGGACACTGAGTATGACGCCATAATACAAGAGTTATGTCGAGATGCGTTTGCTCAAACCCACACAATACCCAGCGGCAAGAATACAACTAACGCAAACAGGGGTCTGAGTCAATAGAGATTCATTACTATAACAAACACAAAATGGGACAGGCTGCGGGTGTGCAGAATCACAAAATGGATGGACTACTGCCACCTTCTCAATTTTGCTATGAATCTGAAATGCCTCTAAAAAAAAAAAAAACTCATTTAAAAATGTAATTTAGAACATTGGTGGTACCTGCCTGCAATCTGGGAGCTGGGGGGGTGGGGGGGGATGCAAGAGGATTAAAGGTTCATGGTCATTCTTAGTCACACAGAGTTCAAGGAAAGCCTGAGCTCTGTGAAATCCTATTGTTTAAAAAAAAAAAAAAAACGGAAGAAAAAGGAGGGAGAGCAGGAGGGAGGGAGAGCAGGAGCAGGAGGGAGAGCAGGCAGGCAAGGTCAGGGCCAGAACACAGAACCCACTGAGTCATCTCTCAATGGGGACTGTTTTATGCGGAATAAATGGTAAATAACTATGTTATTAGTTCAATGTCCTTCCCAAGACCAGGTAATGTGAAGACTTAAAATATTACTTGGCCTACAGCACAATACATTTTAAATCCTTAAACTATGCCAGTGGCTAAAGCCTCAAGCTGACCTAACCCGAGCAGGAAAGGGTAACTAGCTCCATCTGTAAAAGTCCGCCCCATCTCTGAGGGTGACAGAAGGAAGAGTGCGAAGTGCACAGTGCCTACAAAAGGATGGGGAAGCTAAATTTCAAATATTGATCGAGCTGAGGACCATTAGGGTAGGAAGTGTGCTACAGGCTGATGTGCTCCATCGATTTCCCCACGAAAGCGGGTCCTCATCACTGCAAAGCACTCGGCCATCACCGCCTCATAAATCACACTGCACTTAACTGTCTTCAGGAATTCCTCTGCAAACACTGTTTAAGCAGAAAACAGCAGTTAAGAAGCCAAAAATAAAACTGACTTTCAAATGGTAATATACTACTTATCAAACGTAATTGTATGTATTTATAACACTATTGTAGATCACACTCCACCTATTGCCCGATTCTAGTATCATGTCCAAATTGTCACATCTAACTTTAAGGAACTCAATATTTTTCAATTGTGACTTGAAATCCCACAGGTCTCCAGTGCAGACTTACACACATTCCCTCACCTTCCTCATTATTTTTAGTATTAACCAAGTCCCCTTGCTCTTAAACCCTGAGCTCTCTGCGTGAAACCTAAGCCCATACAAAGACAAGCAGCAGAACACTAGAGAAAAGTCTGGTTTTTCTTCTAGTGAAATCCAAAGCAACTGAACTAATTCTGTAAAATGAATTTTGAAAATATACACTACCTCTCAAATAAAACCAAAATTTTACTTAAATAAAAGATGCATCCAGAAGTACAAAAGATTTCATATTAGAGATCATCTTGTCTTAATACATACAACCAAAAAAGGGAGATTCCCACCTCTAAGCATGTACCAAAGACAGATAACTTGTCCAAGCAGGTATAAACAACCATTAGCATAAATACTGCCATCATATACTTATTCTCTTAGAAACAGTTGGTTCAAGCCGGGTGGCAGTGGCACATGCCTTTAATCCCAGCACTCAGGAGGCAGAGGCGGCAGATCTCTGTGAGTTCGAGACTAGCCTGGTCTATAAGAGCTAGTTCCAGGACAGACTCCAAAAGCTACAGAGAAACCCTGTCTTGAAAAAGCAAAAAAAAAAAAAAAAGAAAGAAAGAAAAGAAAGAAAGAAAGAAAGAAAGAAAGAAAGAAAGAAAGAAAGAGTTGATTCATGGGAAATGCTCAACGGAGGTTGCTTACCAATTCTGAAATAGAAAGGAAAACTTCTCAAAAGTCATAGGTGTGTGACAAAAAAGAAAAAAATATCAAATGGAAAAAGAAGCATATTTAACAAGTGGTGCTGGCATAAGTGGACATCAACATGTAGAAGAATGAAAATAGACCCATATCTATCACCATGCACAAAAACTTAAGTCCAAATGGATCAAAGACCTCAACATAAAGCCAGCCACACTGAACCTTATAGAAGAGAAAGTGGGAAGTACACTTGAACGCATTGGCACAGGGAACCACTTCCTAAATATAACCCCAGCAGCACAGACACTGAGAGAAACAATTAATAAAAGCTTCTGTAAAGCAAAGGACACGGTCAACAAGACAAAACGACAGCCTACAGAATGGGAAAAGATCTTCACTAACCCCACATCAGACAGAGGTCTGATCTCCAAAATATACAAAGAACTCAAGAAATCCACCAAAAGATCACATAATTCAATAAAAAAAAATGAAGTACAGATCTAAATAGAGAACTTTCAACAAAAGAATCTAAAATGGCTGAAAAACACTTGAAGAAATGTTCAACATCCTTAGTCATCAGAAAAATGCAAATCAAAACAACTCTGAGATTCCATCTTACACCTGTAAGAATGGCAAAGATCAAAAACACTGATGACAACTTATGCTGGAGAGGTTGTGGGGAAAAGGGAACACTTCTGCATTGCTCGTGGGAATGCAAGCTGGTACAACCCCTTTGAATGTCAGTGTGGCGATTTCTCAAAAAATTAGGAAACAACCTTCCTCAAGATACAGTAATACCACTTTTGAGTATATATCCAAAGGATGCTCAATCGTGCCACAAGGACATGTGCCCAACTATGTTCACAGCAGCTTTGTTTGTCATAGTCAGAACCTGGAAACAACCTAAATGACCCTCGATCAAAGAATGGATAAGAAAAATGTGGCACATTTACACAATGGAGTACTACACAGCAGAAAAAAATAACGACAGTTTGAATTTTGTAGGAAAATGGATGGAGCTAGAAAACATTATTTTGAGTGAGGTAACCCAGACACAGAAAGACAATTGTCACATGTACTCACTCATAGGTGGTTTTTAAACATAAAGCAAAGAAAGCCAGCCTACAAACCACAATCCCAGAGAATTTAAAGAACAATGCAGACACTAAGAGAGACTTACATATATCTATTCTACATGGGAAATAGAAAGTAGAAAAAGACAAGATCTCCTGAGTAAATTGGGAGCATGGGGACCTTGGGGATAGGGCTGAAGGGCGGAGGGGAGAGGCAGGAAGGGGAGCAGAGAACAATGTAGAGCTCAATAAATATCAATAAAAAAAGAAGCAGAAGATCAAAAAAAAGAAAAGAAAAGAAAAACCAAAGTGAAAAAAAGGAAAAACCAAATAAATAAAGTGCAACCTCTATAGGAGAGAAGCTGCAGACTGAGAAAATGGAGTTTATAATCTCTGCAGCTAGAGAGGCTTGGAATTCACTGTGTCCTTCAGGCTGATCCAAACTCCAGGGAATCTTCCTATTTCCCTCTGAAATCCTGGGATTGAATGTCTGCTGCCACCTAACTTCCTGTTTTCCTGCCTTCTGGCTGTCTAGTTCTGACTGTTCCTCCTGACTGCCTGCCTTCTCCTCTACTCTTTCAAAGCAGCAAAGCCAACACTGTATCTTTGCTTTCTTCAGCATTTATAAGGGAACTTAGACCTAGGGAACTTGCCAGGGTCAGTGCAGTGTTAGTGGGCGGAGCAGTTGCTGATGTGTCCCCAACCTCTAGGTCCCCTGTAACTCTTAAGGAGCTGAGAACAGTGAACCACACCAGCAGCCACTCTTGGTGATGCCCAGGTCAGTGTCCCAGCTTTGGCCCCGGATTCCAGCAGCTTGCCCTCAATCTTCTTCCTTTTCCCCACGGGGACTCTCAGAACCTTACTCTAGACTTCCCAGCCCCCTGCATCAGGGTCTGTCCACCTCTTTGAGGAAGACCTACCCCTCAAATCTGAGATTCTAGGCTGTTCCTAGAACTTCACCAGGGCTGTACAAAATGGGGGGAAGTGTTCATCTCCCCGCTTTTCCCCAGAACAGAACAGAATTACTACATCTTCAGAAAACTACCTACCAAGACAATTGTCACATGTACTCACTCAAAGGTGGTTTTTAAACATAAAGCAAAGAAAGCCAGCCTACAAACCACAATCCCAGAGAACTTAGACAACAATGCAGACACTAAGAGAGACTTACATATATCTATTCTACATGGGAAATAGAAAGTAGAAAAAGGCAAGATCTCATGAGTAAACTGGGAGCATGGGGACCTTGGGGGAGGACTGAAAGGGGAGAGGACTGAAGGGGAGAGGGGAGAGGCAGGGAGGGGAGCAGAGAAAAATATGGAGCTCAATAAATATCAATAAAAAAAGAAAAATATTTACATGTCTGAGAAAAAAAGAAAAAAAAGTCATAGGTGTGATCAGACATAGTGATGCACACTTGTGATCCAGTTCAGCCAGGGTTATATACAGATTGTTTCAGGCTAGCCTAAACTACACAAGGAGATTCTGTCTCAAAACCCTGGCCAGGTGGGTAGGTGATAAGGCTCAATGGGTAAAGGCACTTGCTATCAAGTCTAACAACCTTACTTTCATCTCAGGAACCCAAATGGTAGAAGAAGAGAACCAACTCCCAAGGTGTCCTCTGACCTCCACACATATGCCATGCATCACATGCACCCACACAAATAAATAAACGAAATAAAAAATATTTCATCTTAGACCAGGCTTGCACCTGTAGCCCTACATCTCAGAGGCTGAGACAGAAGGACTGTTAAAAAGTTCAAAGCCAGGGCGGGAGAGTGTTTCAACAGTTAAGAGCACTGGCTTCTCTTTCAGAGGACCTGGGCAATTCCCAATACCCACATGGCAGCTCACAATCATCTGTGACTCTGGTTTCAGGGGATCTTATGGCTCCTCTGCCCTCTGCCAGCACCAAGCATACACTTGGTGTATAGACATACTTTCAGAAAAGGTATCCATTTACATAAAATACAAATAAACCTTGAAAATAAAAATTCAAACCCAGCTTGGACTACAGAGTGAGACTCTTGTCTC